AATTGTAATAGTGAATTAATATTTAAGTATGAATTTGGACAGTTGCTCTTTGAAACTATCTTTGAGTTTAGTGTACTTGCAATTATTTTTATATTTCAAACAACTTTTTGTTTATTTTATATAAGAGTGTTAGTATATTAATGGTTATACTCATGTAAGTCTTGAGAAGAAGTAAGTAAGAAAGTATTTTCACATTAAGATATACTTGATATTCATATGCTTAGTTTTATTTTGAAAGTGAGGAATTATATAATCAACAAAAATCCATCAACAAAATGTATTTAAGGAATGACTGTAATATTTTTTCTGTCTATGAAGAAATAACATCAAAAATGTGGTGCACACTGAATAACCCGTGTTGCGAGTTATTTTAAAGTGTGCAACACATTTTTTATGTTATTTCGAATAGACAGAAAAAATATTACAGTCATTTCTTATAATTTAATCTAAATTCCATTTTAAACCTGAGTAAACCATGAAAAAACGTTGATGACGTCACGGTCACATGACAGAATTATGTCTATGAGCTGATAAACAAAACAATGTCAGCCAATCAGTAGACGCCTTACATCCAAAATTAAATTATTTGAAATTAGAATCATGTTCATACACTTCATTTTTACTATGATTGATAGTTGTCTCATTGACAATCATACCACAGCTCCTTATTTTTATATGAACTGTAAAGTGGTTTAGTTTAAATTTAGTTGATTGAATATAGTTTAAATGTCTTGATTTCAAAGGCCAAACCTGTTTTCAAAGATTTGTATTCAGATTTTGCTTAAACATCAAATTTATCTGAGGGAATTTTTTTCTCTTTTATTTAATTGAGAAATTCGAGAAAATAGGGCCTTCTCAAAATTTCCCTACTATACACTATTTTATTTGATAAAATATCTGATTTAGCAGTGAATTTGAAATCCATATTTTCTATACCATATGTCTAGCAAAAGTGAACACTATATGTGAGAGAAAATGACTATAATTTATTGAACCAAATGTCTTACACAAATATTCATTGTCTGTATTGTTCTACTGTAAGCAAAACCTTATTGGAATGTGAATATCATTTATTTGAACTCATACTGAATATCTACTATTAAGTATTTTATTTGAATGGTTTATACATGTTAATAATTACTGCTACTTGTGATGTGCAATAATATAAAATCAAATGTAGATTTATACAATAAATTAATAAAATTGCTTAATGATTGCAAGCAGTTTATTTGTTTTAATACAATTAGTTACTCTGTTTCAAAACAATAGTTGCTATTCCCCGAATGTGACCTACCGAATTAGACTTATCACCGGGCATGTACTAACATGAGCAACACAATTGGTGCCACATATGGAGCAAGATCCGCTTACCCTTTCAGGGCACATGAGATCACCCCCAGTTTTATGTGGGGTTCGTGCTGCTCAGTCTTTAGTTTTCTATGTTGTGTTTTGTGTACATTTTGTCTGTTGGTCGTTTTCTTTTTTAGCCATGACGTTGTTAGTTTATTTTCGACTTATGAGTTTGATTGTCCCTTTGGTATTTTTCACTTCTCATTTGCTATGTTTTGTTCGTAATTCATATAATTTCTGCAAACTGTTAAGCTATAATCAGTGCCTATTAAGTCACTGGATATTCATTATGGTATGGAAGTTAGAAGAACCAGGCCGTACACAACTCATAAGTTCAAGAAGGACAGATAGCACTGTAACCAAAAGAAAAGTGATGAAAAGACAGAAAGATCCACAAAAGTCTAAGGTAGGGAAATCTTAAAGAACTTAATGGTATAATGAGTCATAATTTTTAGAGAAGGGCAGAAAAAAAAATGATGTACGTTCAGATAAAAAACCTAACACTGGGGTAGATGCAGGTGCCCAGAAAGGGTACACAATTAAAACTTCACTAGTGGTACTTGTCATGTTGCTTATGACAAATAAATAAATGTCAATTGACATCTACATTAGATTTAATATGCAATTTTAAAATGGGTTTGATGAGATTCATTAATGATATAGAGTCAAGACTACTTACTTCCTTCTGGGTGTTTATATTGTTCTTGTTAAAAAATGTTCATCTATTCTGAGGGATCTAGCTGCATTGTTAAGGTCATCTTCCAATAGTAAATTATCAACCTTGACCGGGATGGGACAGGAATTGAGACCTTTTGTCAAGACTTTAGTTTCAGTCTCTGACAAAGTAACAAGATAGGCTGACTACAGAATCTGTTCCAATTTTTGTCGAGCCTGCGACTTTTGTCGCAGAAAGCTCGACATAGGGATAGTGATCCGGCGGCGGCGGCGGCGTTAGCTAACTTCTTAAAAGCTTTATATTTTAGAAGCTAGAAGACCTGGATGCTTCATACTTTGTATATAGATGCCTTATGTTACGAAGTTTCCGTCTGTCATATGTCCATTGTCCTTGACCTCATTTTCATGGTTCAGTGACTACTTGAAAAAAAAGTCAACATTTTTTGTAATGTTAATTTCTTTCTTATTATGAGTAATAGGATAACTATATTTAGTATGTGCGTACCTTGCAAGGTCCTCATGCCCGTCAGACAATTTTCATTTGTCCTCGACCTCATTTCATGGATCAGTGAACAAGGTTAAGTTTTCGTGGTCAAGTCCATATATCAGATACTATAAGCAGTAGGTCTACTATATTTGGTATATGGAATGATTGAAAGGTGTACATGTCCAACTGGTAGGTGTCATCTGACCTTGACCTCATTTTCATGGTTCAGTGGTCAAAGTTAAGTTTTTGAGTTTTGGTCTTTTTTTCTAATACTATATGCAATAGGTCAACTATATTGAGTATGTGCGTACCTTGCAAGGTCCTCATGCCCGTCAGACAATTTTCATTTGTCCTCGACCTCATTTCATGGATCAGTGAACAAGGTTAAGTTTTCGTGGTCAAGTCCATATATCAGATACTATAAGCAGTAGGTCTACTATATTTGGTATATGGAATGATTGAAAGGTGTACATGTCCAACTGGTAGGTGTCATCTGACCTTGATCTCATTTTCATGGTTCAGTGGTCAAAGTTAAGTTTTTGAGTTTTGGTCTTTTTTTCTAATACTATATGCAATAGGTCAACTATATTGAGTATGTGCGTACCTTGCAAGGTCCTCATGCCCGTCAGACAATTTTCATTTGTCCTCGACCTCATTTCATGGATCAGTGAACAAGGTTAAGTTTTCGTGGTCAAGTCCATATATCAGATACTATAAGCAGTAGGGCTACTATATTTGGTATATGGAATGATTGTAAGCTGTACATGTCCAACTGGTAGGTGTCATCTGACCTTGACCTCATTTTCATGGTTCAGTGGTCAAAGTTAAGTTTTTGAGTTTTGGTCTTTTTTTCTAATACTATATGCAATAGGTCAACTATATTGAGTATGTGCGTACCTTGCAAGGTCCTCATGCCCGTCAGACAATTTTCATTTGTTTTCGACCTCATTTCATGGATCAGTGAACAAGGTTAAGTTTTCGTGGTCAAATCCATATATCGGATACTATAAGCAGTAGGGCTACTATATTTGGTATATGGAATGATTGTAAGGTGTACATGTCCAACTGGTAGGTGTCATCTGACCTTGACCTCATTTTCATGGTTCAGTGGTCAAAGTTAAGTTTTTGAGTTTTGGTCTTTTTTTCTAATACTATATGCAATAGGTCAACTATATTGAGTATGTGCGTACCTTGCAAGGTCCTCATGCCCGTCAGACAATTTTCATTTGTCCTCGACCTCATTTCATGGATCAGTGAACAAGGTTAAGTTTTCGTGGTCAAGTCCATATATCAGATACTATAAGCAGTAGGGCTACTATATTTGGTATATGGAATGATTGTAAGGTGTACATGTCCAACTGGTAGGTGTCATCTGACCTTGACCTCATTTTCATGGTTCAGTGGTCAAAGTTAAGTTTTTGAGTTTTGGTCTTTTTTTCTAATACTATATGCAATAGGTCAACTATATTGAGTATGTGCGTACCTTGCAAGGTCCTCATGCCCGTCAGACAATTTTCATTTGTTTTCGACCTCATTTCATGGATCAGTGAACAAGGTTAAGTTTTCGTGGTCAAGTCCATATATCAGATACTATAAGCAGTAGGGCTACTATATTTGGTATATGGAATGATTGTAAGGTTTACATGTCCAACTGGTAGGTGTCATCTGACCTTGACCTCATTTTCATGGTTCAGTGGTCAAAGTTAAGTTTTTGAGTTTTGGTCTTTTTTTCTAATACTATATGCAATAGGTCAACTATATTTGGTGTATGGAAATAATTTTTGATGTACATGTCAGTCTCGCAGGTTTTATTTGACCTTGACCTCATTTCCACGGTTCATTTCTCAGTGTTTAGTTTTTGTGTTTTGGTCTGTTTTTCTTCAACTATAAGCAATAGATCAACTATATTTGTTGTATGGAAGGATTGTAAGGTGTATATGTCTGTCTGGCAGGTATCATCTGACCTTGACCTCATTTTCATGGTTCATTGGTCAATATTTAGTTTTCTTGGTTAAGACTGTTTCTTAGAAACTATAAGCAATAGGTCAACTATGTTTGGTTTATTGAATGATTGGAAGGTGTACATGTATTTCTCGTTTGGTTTATCTGACCTTGACCTCATTTTCTGGGATCATGTTAAGTTTATGTGTTACTTGTAGTAAAGCTTTATATTTAGGACTATCAACATAAAATCAATGGTTAGTAAAGAAGGCGAGACATTTCATTGTGTGCACTCTTGTATTTTCTTTCTCCTGCATCTACAATTACAGGATTTTTTTTTATCAACTGTGCCAATACAAAGAAGAGTTTAGGTGATCTATTCCTTTGTATAAGTGTCTTAAAGTGTGCAATATCGTTCATTATATTAAATATACATTTTATTCTATTTATCAGCATATGCACTGTACCTTGCTATAGTAACACCTAAATGCGCTATATATACTGCAAAACCAGATTTGTGTTGAATTATTTCCAAATAATACAAGAATGAATATCTATATTTCTTTATTTTTTCCTATAACAACTTATGTTGCAGTTGAATTCAAATCTATATGAACTGACTGAAATAATTATTTCATGTTATGGTTTGTCATGAGAACTTCAAATAGTGCCTTAGATGAACTGATTTGAAAGTATTATTGCACAATTCCTCATGGGGAATAATATTTTGAGTTTTTGTAGTCAGGTGCTCGTCTCCAGAAACCATAGTCATGTCCACTAGCATCATGGTAATGAATGACAATTCTGAAAAACAAAAATATTACTCTGAAGAAAACGAAGCTAGTTAGAGAAAATAATACTAGCATCACCAATTACAGTGAGTTTTAGAAAATTTATGGACAGGAAACAAAATTTAATGATAAATACGGTACCAAAATCACATGATTTATACAAATCGTTTGTTTGAAAAGCGTAAACCCAATTGCAGAAAGGGCAGTACAGTCCCATTCCTTACTATTAGGTATTTATCGTTTTTGAAAAACTACAATTACATATATGGCATTAACTAATGTTAGTATTCTTTTCACTTGATGTTTTTGATGAATTGAACTTTCATTACAAGTCTTAATACAACCTTACCTATTCTTCGGAATATTTGTGTTCTCTGTTAGAAAATCCATAAACTGTTTCGTGTATTCAGGGTTATTGGTTTCGTTAAATTTACCAACTGTATTCATATCTAAAAACATCATAGGACCACGACTGCCGTTATGGTACATCCTATCTCCACACGTCAATTTTATATAAACTACCTGAAATAAACATTCCAAATACATCATTTTATTTTGTCTATAGTGACTGAAATCGCAATGATGTGACTGTCTTAAAAATCATTAGTGTTTACTTTATATTGCTAACTGAAATATCACTGATATTTTTACTGTCTGTAACCTTACCTTCGTTGAATTATTTGAAACACTAAGGTTTTTCTACATCCAGGCATAGATTGCCCCAGCCGTAAATTGAAAATTTCGGAATGTTCTATCTTTAATTCTCCCCAACTTTATATCTGATTATGTCTTCCTACTGTTATGATTCGAGCGCAACTGATTGGGCTGATGTACACGAAAGCACGCCTGGATCACCAAAATATAAGCCTGGTATCTTTGATATCTTTGTACGACCACTGGGTCGATGCCACGGTTGGTAGACGTTTGGTCACCGAGGGTATCACCAGCATATAAGTCAGCACTTTTATTTTGACATACAATATTATTATTTTCTGTAAATTTACCAATTAAACAAATGTGGAATTACACGGGTTTTCTACCACTAGGCATGAATTACTGTAGCCAAATTTGGCACAACATTTTGCTTTGAGCTTTCCTAATGATAGTAAATCAAGAAAAACACTTCGGACACATGAAATTTACAAAGTGCTATTTCATTTTTTTTATATCTATAAATTTTCTAAATCTTTATGTTGTCAATTTATTATTTCTTTTGTATACGATTACTATAAATATCTAAATTTCTTGGATGCCAGATGTCTTATAATCGTAGATATATGAGGAAATACGTTTCATAGTAATTTGTTAAAATTTCATTTAAAATAAATATTGAGTACAGATTAAGAAGTTAAACCAACATTTAAATAAAGATTATGTACATTTGCTTCTTTAATGTTTAACGCAAAAATGTTAAGATTTGAATTCATTATTGAATATAGTTTATCAATATGGCCACGTGTAACTTTAATGAATCTAATGTTAATAACCTTAAAGTCCGTTATGCAATATTTGTAAAATCATATCGATTACATACAACATTTAATTGATTATCAAAATATTAAAAAAAAAACAGTGCACTATAATGGTCATTCATTTGATTGCTAATAAAAAAAAATGAAATAAAGAAAAAATAATGTATCAAATAACGAACAAACCATGAGTACTTTATAGAAATATCTTTCGTCCCTCTTTTATAGAAATAACCTTTTTTGTTGGGTATTTATTTTACAATTTTCGTCAATTGATGACCATTGCTGACATTTTGATGTAAGACCATACGACCTGTCCTCAAAATCAAAAAGGCACATTATCCAATTTAGATTCAATAAGTTGGGATTTATGACCTAAAAGTTTTTTCCGGAAACAAAATTTTCCCGACATATCAGTCTTTTCATAAACATTGTAACCTTGAAATTTGACTTTCTAAATCAAATGCAATAGAGTCTTCTTTCCAAGAAATTGTTTAGTTAACGTTTATGAGGATGAGACATATGGTAGAAAAATATCACCCAGAAAGCCAAATTTTTTTCACAATTTCAGTCTATTAATTGCTACCTTAACCTTGATCTTTATTCTAGTGACATGAAACCAATAAGGGTTTTCAAAACTCGAAGTTGTGTTAAATAGGTTAATATAACTTATACTGATTTTTCTTTCTAAAATATATTTGCAGTAAAAAATAGCAAAAATACCAAACTCCAAGGAAAATTCAAAACGGAAAGTCATTTATCAAATGGCAAAATCAAAAGCTCAAACACATCAAACGAATGGAAAACAACTGTCATATTCCTGACTTGGTACAGGCATTTCCTGAAGTAGAAAATAGTGAATGAAACCTGGTTTTATAGCTAGCTAAACCTCTCACTTGTATGACAGTCGCATAAGTAAAGGTATCTTCAAAGTTTTTAAATGAATAGCCTATATGTCAGTCGATTATTGATAGATCCCGATCTGGAAACAATATAAAATGCTACATATCCTGTCATATATCTTTATCTATTTCACCATAAAGATGCTTATGCTGCTCATATTTCATATCAAATTTTGTAAAACCACTTATGCGTCAACCTCAGACGTGCACTATATTGAACAGTTGTCTTTGAATTTCCAATCATCATGACAATTACCTTTGATAAGCTTTTTATAAAGTTGCAATTTTTCTCAATAACATTAACGGTATCAATTTACTGCACCAGATGCGCATTTCGACAATTAATGTCTCTTCAGTGATGCTCTAGGTTTAAATATTTGAAAATCCAAAACCTGTTCTCTGAACATGAAGAGCTTATAAACCAATAAGGACAAAGAGTAAAGGCAAAGCCATGCAATGCATCAGAGCTTCGCACAAGGGAAAGATATTCCTTAATTTAAAATACTTTCCAAAATTTTGTAATAGAAAGTTTTGATAAACCAATGTTCGTATTTGTATGCTATTACCGAAGTACTGGCCACTGGGCTGGTGATACCCTCGGGGACTAACAGTCCCTCAGCAGAGGTATCGACGCAGTGGTAGAATAATAAAGGCAACAATAGTATACCGGTCTTCAAAAGTCATAAATCGATTGAGAGAAAACAAATCCGGGATACAAACTAAAACCGAGGGAAACACATCAACTATAAGAAGAAAACAAAGGAACAACAGGAACACTGAAGTGCAACAAAAACAAACGCCAACATACATATAAACGAACTATTTGATAACAACTGCCATATTCCTGACTTGGTACAGGATATTTTAAGAACAAATGGTGGGTTGAACCTGGTTGTATGGCTAGCCAAACCTCCCGCTTATAAGACTATGTTAAAAAAAATCGCTAAAATGACAAAACTACGTGAAAAATATATTAACGGTAACAATTTTACTGCACCAAATGCTCATTTCGATAATAAATGTCTCTCCAGTGATGCTCGATTACAAAGGGACATTTTAACAACCCACTTACCTCGGTAGGAACATCCATAACTGAAGCGACCTTCTTTATTAACTTTTCTTCAAAATCCAAAGGGATATCATCATTTTTTAGGTTTGTGTGAATATATAAATTTGGCATATTTAATTACAGGCACTGAAATATAGAAACACTGTTTGATTAATTCAAACATATTCTTTATAGTGGCGAAACTTCTATAAAGAAATAGATTACTTGTAGTATAGCATCATACCTGCATGAATAAAAGCCCTGTTCATTGAAAATTTTCTATAATTTCTATGTATTGTGTGCGATTTTGTCCCATGTACATTTAATCCATATCCTTTTATTTTCTATGTAATTTCTGTCATACTCAGTATTAACATTCAAGAACAATATAGTTGAATAATTTAGTAGCAGTCTTTACAGTGTTGACATGGCATACATGGTTTATATATACTTTCAGATTTTTTAAAGATGTACATGTTTAGCTTCACCATAAGCAATTAGTTCTTTTCTGTAATATGGAAATACATTGTGGGGAATATTCCCAAAGTCTCTTAGTTTAATGACAAGTTTTATAAGATGATGATAAGCTGTGTAAAATCGTTTAGACTTTCACAAATATCAAAGATATTTATTATACTTCGCGTAAAAATGCAATATTTTGATTGGCTTATACGAGGGTGTTAATTTACTCTATTCTATGGTAAATACTCTATTACCCTTCACGGAGACGCTTGATCAAGTGTGCGCTTTATTTAATACGGATGGTTGTTATGTACAAGACGTCATAGTTTATTACTTTGAATTTGAAATTTAATCGACAGTAATAACAGAACATTCAGTGTAATAAATTAAATAACACATATCTGAGAGGGTGATAGAGCAGATTGTTACCCCTCGAAAAGGCATTGTCAACCTTGGCTTCGCCTCAGTTGACAATGTTTTCTCGGGGTAACAAATCTGTTCTATCACCCTCTTAGCTATGTGTTATGTATATAACGTACGATAGTGACAAGTGTGCGTTTCCGTAGAAATTTAAGTAAACATTCAGTTTACAAATATACTGGTTAATGTAATATAATACACCCCTAATTTGTTTGGTGCAGCCAAGTTTATTTTAGATAAGAACAATTATCACAATATATGAATATTATCAAACTGTTATGTAATAATGTTAAACTACAGTATTGTTTTTATTCATAACTACAGTGATGTTCGTATATATAAAACACAGTACTAACGCTTTACCTGTGGTCTGTCAAGGTTGAGGTGAGACTATGGTATGCAGTACAATATATCAACAAGCTCATTTCCTTGCAATTTGGTTCTAAAACTACTCGGTTTTGCATATTTTGCACAACCTTGCTTTGTTCCACATTTTATTCTTGATCGGTATATTTTCATTGTCCGTCATAATTCATCACGTCAGCATTGCTATTAAATTTCTAACGTTTTATGAAAATATTTATTAATAAACTTTTGAACGTAAGAGGATTGTATTATTAACAGGTCGGGAACACTACCTTATATGGATATTCATAAATTAGCATATTAATGTCCTCGCAAATATAATTGTTTATTTACGTGTGAAGCTTTTTTTTACCTGGGTTTCTGACCAATCCAATAAATGGGTAACAATGCATGATGGACTAATACGTGTTTACGATCAACCGAGAACACGCTTTATTTTCTGAAATACAACACATTTTTTCAGGTATTGCGGGATAAACAATTTAGCTTAGTTTTTCAACTTTTGTATCTACATTTATAGTTCGTGATATAAAGTATTCGTTTCATGCTCAGATTAACGAATAGTTGTTTCTATGCGACGAAATGAGTGCCCAAAATATAGCGATTAATATTATTGATGATTAAACGAAGATTTCAGATATTCGTCCACAAGACAGCAACGAAACAACAGTGAAAAACATAATTACCCATTAGATGAACTTTCATTCAGATTGTTAAAAAAAGGGGATCCTGGAATTTTCAGTGGGTTTGCTAAAAAGGGGATGACTTAGAGTGTGACAAATATCGGTTGGGGTCACTACAATATTCCAGCTTTTCACATATTAATTGATGTAATGATATTGTACCTACTTTTTTTTAATTAAAGAAGTCATTTAAATCGAGGAAGGGTATGTATTTATTACGTTGTCTGTAAGAAACAAACACAAATACCTTTCAGAAAGATTGGTTTTCTATTATCTTGAAAAGAGATATTTATTATAGAACTCCATATAGTACTTTAAGCCTAAACCAAATAGGAGTTACACAATGGCCTTATATGATAACAAATCTTAGAAAGATTCATTAAGTCATAATTAGTGGTTTAGGAGGAGGTGTAGACACAATATGGATACACCATATAAAGCAATGGCAACGTTCATGTTTAGGAAATAGAAACCCCAAAAATAGTTTTGACCAAAAACATAACATGAAGTGCAAAATGGCATTGTATGGTAAGGAATATGAGGTTTCATTTCATTATGATAAGTGGTTAAGGAGTTCGAATGGAGTTATGGATACAAAAGTGAAACATATCATACCGAAAATATTGGCAACAAGCGGACTTCTTATGTTATATATTTTACATTTAATACATTGGCTGAAAAAAAATTTATTATGAGATTCCCAGACACTATATTAATTGACAGTGTTCCCACTAATTCCACTTTTTTTTAAGTGGTAGCAAACTCGTAGTAGCCCACAATGCATAGTAGTTTATTGAGTCGATTGGTCAGGTTTTCAAGGCCATTTTTACCTTCTGTTTGGGAAATAATACAATGCAAATATATACTGACGTCAGAAAATATAGAGTTCCTGTCCTGATTAAAAACAATATACTATGGTAGATTCCAGAAACAAGTAAATCCGTCAAAAAAGAAAATGTTCAAATCAAGCTGAGTTAACGATAGAATCTGGGATTTTTATAATATATTATGCCCCTGATAGAATATACGTAATAATTTGGAGAATAATAAGCTTTTTTTTACATTAAATTTTGTTTTCTCTCAAAAACGTCCTAAATATTTTTGATTAAAATGACATCTTATCGCTCCAGTAGAAATCAATTAGTCTCAATATGTTGCTTGAAAAGGTGTCAAAAAACAAAATAATCGTTACGTCGTGACAGCGTCATGGTCATGGTCCAAAATCGTATTCTTTCCTGTTTTTCATACACATCTCATACTCAAATTATTTCGACACCAATCCAGTAACCCCAAACTGCAATGAAATATCATTTTAAAATAAAATGCTGTGGTCGGCTCTTCCAGAAATTGTAATTTTAAGTACAAACAAATCTGATTTTTTGCAGTTATTTTACATACATTCTATACATTAATAAACTAACTATTTTCACACATTCTCAATTGACTTAAAGATAATAATAAAAAAAAAAGATGATGGAGAAATGATTAGTAATCAAAAAGATATTATCAAAGAGGTTAATTTTTTTTATCAAGAGTTGTACTCAAAAAGAAATGTTGTTACTGATAAGATTAAAAATTTTGATAATGATTTTGATAAATACAATGTTCACAAACTAACAAATGAGGAGTCAGATAAACTATAGAGGGTCCAATCTGTCTACATGAGGCATCAAATGTTTTAAAAAGCAATGAAAAATGATAAAAGTCTAGGATCATCAGGTTAAAGCTGAATTTTTCAAAGTTTTCTGGGGGAAAATTGGTCAGTTTGTAGTAAGATCTATAAATTATGGTTTCAAAAAAGGTCAACTGTCTGTTACGCAAAGACAAGGTATAATCACATGTCTAACTAAAGGAGATCAACCTCGACAGTTTCTAACTGGAGGCCAAATTATTCTCCTAAATATTTCTTACAGAATTGCATCAGGGGTGATTGCTAATCGATTTAAACAAGTTTTGGGAAATTTAATTGATCCTGATCAAACTGGTTTTGTTCTAGGCCGATTTATAGGAGAAAACACAAGATGTTATATGATTTGGTGTAAATTGTAGAAGAAAAAAAAACATACCAGGACTTCTCCTAGTTGTCGACTTTGAAAAAGCTTTCGATTCATTATTATGGGATTATCTACAAGAAGTATTAAGATTTTTCAATTTTGAAATATCCATCCGAAATTGGGTTGGAGTTTTCTACTCTAAAATACAGTCAGCTGTAAACCAAGGGGGTAATATTTCAGCCAATATTTACATCTCATATATCCCAGTGAACTTGAAATTAAGGATACTACTGATACTAGAAGGACTGCTTCATACCTTGATCTTTTCCTCAATATTGACACAGATGGACGACTTCACACGAAAATCTATGATAAACGGGACGATTTCAACTTCCCAATTATCAATTTCCCATTTCTCAGCAGTAACATACCCTCTGCCCCTTCGTATGGTGTTTACATATCTCAATTGATACGTTATTCTCGTGCTTGTTCACACTATACGGACTTCATATACAGGAATGTGCTCCTTGCACAGAAACTGCTCCAACAAAGTTATGAGGAGGACAGATTAAAAATGACACTCCTTAAATTTTACGGACACCATCACGAATTGGTTAGTCCATACGATGTGTCTTTGTCCAAACTAACTAAGGACATTTTTACCACGTGTTAGATTGTGGTTTGTCATTACGTCGTCTGATGTTTTAATTACCGAACGTAACTTATTCCCGACTGTGACTTTTGCTGAGTGTGAAACCGCATTGCTATAAGACGTGTCACGGTACCTTTCTATCCAAAATTCATGTATTTAATTTTAATGTTATATTTGTTATTCTCGTCGGATTTTGTCAAATGTCTTAACGTCTTTTCTGTTATACTCCTGTGTTATGGTAAAGATAATTAATCACCCCCTTCATTTATTAGATTTTAGTTTGGTTCAACGAAATTTATACGATATATTTGGTTTACAGTTTGATTCAGAAGAAACACCGACATAACTAGATAATACAATTAATTATCTAACTACTACCACAATTTGATATTAATAAGTATTCTAATTTTCATTGTTATTAATAAATGTAATGTCAGTATTACAAATCTAATCTTGAATCAATCCTAATCCTATCTTATTTTTTAGAAATATTTTTACAAATTCAAATGTGACGTCAATTTGTGTGTTTTTTTTAGAATTTCAAATGTGACGTCACTTTGTGCGTTGATGCTTTGGCTAACTCGGCTGTGTATTTTTATTTATATGTTGGATTAAGTTGTTTTATGTAATGTATCCGTTTTTATTCTGTAGTTAGTCCCCACTTCGGTTTTATCATGTATATCTATTATATAGTCATTTTATAAAATTTACTGTTTGCAAAATTATAAATTATTCTAAATAATAAGGATGTTCTTGTCCCAGGCAGGAAACCCTGGCCGTGTTAGGCGCAATTTTTGGAAGTTTTGGTCCTCGGTGCTCTTCGGCTTTGTACTTGTTTTGGCTTTCAAGCTTTTTTCATCTGAGCGTCACTGGATGGTCTTGTGTGGACGAGACGCACGTCTGGCGTATTGAATTTTAAGCCTAGTACCTTTTGTTAGCTATCATTCGTGTGTTTCTTTGTCCTATATGTTCTCCCATTTATTTGTATTGTGGTCCTGTCATGTGATGTTATCGTTTTGGTGTTGTGTTTGACGTTGCCATTAAAGCGGGAGGTTTGGCATGCCATAAAACTAGGTTCAACCCACCATTTTTTTCTTAAAATGTCCTGTACCAAGTCAGGAAAATGGCCATTGAATATTATAGTTCGTTTCTGTGTGTGTTACATTTTAATGTTGTGTTTTTGTTGTGTCGTTGTTCTTCTCTTATATTTGATGCGTTTCCCTCAGTTTTAGTTTGTAACCCGGATTTGTTTTTATCTCTATCGATTTATGAGTTTCGAACAGCGGTATACTACTGTTGCCTTTATTTATCAGATTTTTGTCATATAGAACGGGTTTGTAGACAAGGTGATCCCTTTTTTCCTTATTTGTTTATACTGTGGGCTGAAATACTAGCTTTTTAGATTCGCAACAATAAGAAAATAGGAGGCTTAAAATATGTTTGTATTGAAAACAAATTGTCTACATTTGCTGATGATATTGCTATTATCTTAGATGGACCAGGAGAATCTCTAATGGAAAGCATGAAAGACCTGAATTATTTTCGGGAAATGTCACAGTTAAAAAATACTACAGTAAAATCCAGGTTGTATGGATTGGTAGTACGAAATACAGTCAGAATGTACTTTGTACTAGCTAAAACTTATCATGGGGTAAAAGTAATTTATCGTACCTTGGAATAGACTTTGATGTAGATTTATTCAAGATGATACGATTAAATTATGATAAAACATATTGGAGATTGAATCTCTTTTAAAACATTGGAGCAAGAGAAACTTAACCCCAATAGGGCGTATTACGGTAGTTAAAACATTGGCATTGCCAAAGCTAATCCATCTGTTTTCATCATTGCCAAATCCAGACAACACAATTATTCAAAAACCTGATAACTTGTTTTTTAGTTTTGTGTGGCAAGTTTTGAAGGGGTCTAAAAATGATTAGTTTGAAACCTTTCATAAATTCACTGAAATCTACATGAGTTAGAAGGTTGATTAATAATGAAAAATTACAAGAAATTATTGCTTTCCACGGGATTAATTTTGAGTTACTAGAAAAATACAGGTGTCAAAAACATAGAAAATAGTATGACTGTATGCACAAATCATTTTTGAAAAGATGTTTTTAGTTCCTGGAAAGAAATTATTGCTTTAAATATTGAATATTTTTTGAATTTGCCTTTATGGTTTAATGAGAATATTGAAATAGAAAACGATGTTGTATTTTACTAAGACTGGTATGACACATTGTAAAAAAAATATTAGATTAAGCTGGAGAATTTGTTTCCCTGACAAAATTTCAGGAGATTTATCACATACGTACAGACGTTCTGAAATATTGTGTCTTAACAAAATGTGTTAAACATCTCCAATATAGGAATTGTTACCCAAGCATTCCTAACAATATCAAGAATTTTTTAAACACAAAAAAGTTTATAAAGATATGAACCTCATACTGAGGAAAAATCTTACTCAACCTACAAATAAAAAGAAAATTATGGAAAAGTTTGGTGTCACTGATGATGAAATGGAAATAATTTATATAAACTTCCATTTAAAATTACAACAAATAGTAGATCACAGTGGTTCAAATACAGGATAAACCACTTAGTTTTGACTACCAATTATTTCATGGAAAAGATAGAACTTGTACAAAGCCCCCTTTGTACTTTTTGTAATATACAACCATCAACCATTATACACATATTGTGGGAATGTGAAAAAGTACATATTCTGGTGGAAAATTTTAATACATGGACTTCATCTACAGCACACATAACACTTAATTATAATTATAAGACTTTTGTATTTGGTATTTTTTATGTTAGAAACTGAATTGTACAAAATAAGATAATGCTTTGTATTAAATAATATAGCTATTCAAGTAGAAGCTTGAAAAAAGTCCTATCACTACAGGCACTCACACACAAGATAAATGATCTGTACTTTACTGAAAAAAAACTTTAGCTATTTATAAACAAAAACAAGAACGGTTTGAGAGAGAATGGAGTAGCTGCCACGTTATGTGTATATTATGAAGATCAATAACACAAATACATGAGCCTTTTTTTTTTTGGTAATGAAACCTATACAAGTGGCTTTTTACTTTCATCTGCCTTGAATCAAGTACCATAAATGCAGTGACATATAGAGCAAACCACGGATGACCAATTATTCTTTTTTTCCCTACAAATTTCATACTTGTTTTGCATTCTTCCACAATTTTTTTCTTTTAATTTCTTATTTCAGATTTTTTTTTATCTTCAAAATTCAACTATAAAAATAAAACAAAACACACACGAATTAGTTTGCAGCAAAAAACTCAAAATGTTCTTAAGGCTATTGTAATTATAAGAGCTGTTAAAATCAACTTAATTATAATTATCTGACATTGTATTATTTGCACTGTAAAAGGATAATTTATATACCTTTCAAGTTTGTATATTATCATGATTATACATTATTTGTTTTGAAAAATAAATTAAAAAAAATAAATTAATACTAAAAAAACCCAGACGTACAGTCTTCAAAAATGAGAAGAACCCATAAGGCATAGATAGCTATAAAAGGCATTTGCATGCCATATGTGAAATAATTGACACAGGAAACCCAAAAAGCCTGATTTATGCCTAAACAATAAACGAAAAACATGCATGGCAGTCAGCAATCATCGACAATAAACGAATTGAAGGCTACTGAACAGTCGCATAACGCATGTGGCGGGGTAAAATATGTTTGTGAGCGCTCAATCCTCCCCAACCCAGAGACAGTGTTGTAACAGCACAACAGCAGATGAAAAAAAATCATGAAAATCATTTGGAAAAGGCTTAACTCATCACATCGGCTCTTGAACATAAAAAATCCTAACAAAAAGACATAATAATAATAACCACAATGTATAATTCCAAGAGTACTCGCAGACGAATTCAACGCGAATTTAAACTAATAAATAAACGATGTTTTCCCAGACTAAATTAGCAATTAAATTAACCCTGTAGAATAGATAGAACTAATTTGATATCTCAAAAGCATTTTTAGCAAAACATCTTTTCATATTAGAAAGAGCTATTACGAAAAAATCATAATCACAACAGCTGTTTTAAACAACATTTAAATAACAAAGATGTTGTTTGGAACATTTAAATCAACTAAACACGGACATAACTGTAGCTTAATGAGAACATTGTAATTTGCATTATAAATCGCAAAATGTTTAATACATATAGTTCATGCAAAACGTGCCTGTCAGAAGCAATATTGTACTAATATACTTTCAGACAATTCATAAAATGTGCTGAAATGAAAAAAATAAATTTGAGTTTTATCAGTAAAACAAATCAAAACAAGTTTTATCATAAAACACCAGGAGACAGGTTTAGAACCATTGTGCAATATTGAACGGAAACTCCATCCCGCTACTGAATTCCACTAGTTTTCTAAGAAAAACATGAGCAACAGTGTATAAATCTAACAAAAATGCAGTTTGAGGGAAAAAAGTGCATATACTAAAGTTTATACAGTAGTTCGAACATAATGACTTATCATAATTCGTTTTTGAAAAACCTCGTTGTTTCTTTTGGTATCCATCTTGCTAACATGCTTTTAGGATAAAAGGTTATCAGATTTTTCGTTTATGTAGGTGTTTCAGCATAATGTCACCTTTGTTCTACTTAGAAATACATTATGCAAAAACGCATTAAAGGTACCAGGCTTTAAATCCGGTACACTAGACACCGTTTGGTCTATATAAAACACATCCTAGACACACTTTTTGATATTTAAGATGTATGTCATACGGGAGCTGTATAACAAACACTAAATATAAAAAGCTGACACCATCAGGTAAACTTTTGCTTGATAAACTGTATGTTATATAGTAAACAAAACATGAACATATATATAAAAATGAATCAAAGCTATAGTCTTAGGTTATATATATAAAATAAAACCAATGCTATAATGAAATAAGTTGCTGATAGATAACTTATTGTCCGATTTGATTGATGTAAAGTAATCCGGTCAACCATAAAGATGATCCAATCAGAGTCGCTGCAACTATCAACCATAAAGCTATGTTGTTCTTCTTCTTAGCTTTTTCATGATCTCCACTATCCCAAGATTTGATTCCCTACAAATAATTGTTTGCTTTAATTTTTAAAGTAACTTTTATATTTATTATCACCTCACCTTTAACTTAAATAAAGGCAACAGTTATTTCCGGTGTTCAAAAGTCATAAATCGATGAGAGAAAACAAATCCGGGTTTCAAACTAAAACCGAGGGAAACACATCAACTAAAAGAGGAAAACAAAGGAACAAGAGGAACACTGAAGTGCAACAAAACAAACGTCAACATACATAGAACTATTTGATAACAACTGCCATATTCCTGACTTGGTACAGGACATTTTAAGAAAAAATGGTGGGTTTAACCTGGTTTTATGGCTAGCCAAACCTCCCGCTTACATGGCAATGTTTAAACATATATCGCTAAAATGACAACACTTCGTGACAGAAATACAGCACAAACACTCAACGCAGAGAAACGCACAAACAAATAATATAATAGTCAACACAACATGCAAACCGCAGAACAACAGCGAACATCTTCCATCAACGACAGACACCATTGGACATCACAAACAGTGACGCACGTACGTAACGAACATGCAATCTCGAACTTTATTATTTTCACAATACCAGTCCAAACAATTTTCATGACAATGATGGCATGAAATGCTTATTTATAATTATTTGGACTACAAACGATAAGATATATTACATTATCCAACCAAAACCATAACAGAAACATAAAAATAAATACATGAATGTTGGATGTACAAAATACCGAGACACGTCGTATAGCAATGTAAATTCACACTCGGTATAACAGTCATATTTGGGAATAGGCCACGTTCGATACTTAGCAGACAGACGACATAGATGTTAAACCACAATCTAAGAAGTGGTAAAAATGTCATTAGTTAATTTAGACACAGACACATTGTAAAAATTAACCTATTCGCGATGGTGTCCATAAAATTTACGGAGTTTCATTTCAAATCTATCCTCCTCATAACTCTGTTGGAGCAGTTTCTGCGTAAGGAGCACACTCCTGTATATGAAGTCAGTATAGTGTGAACATGCACGAGCATAACGTATCAATTGAGATATGTAAACACCATACGACAGACCAAGGGTATGTTACTGCTGAAATTGATAAATGGGAAGTTGAAATCATCCCGTTTGTCATAGATTTTAGTGTGAAGTCGTCTATCTGTGTCAATATTGAGGAAAATATCAAGATATGAAGCAGCCATTCTTGTATCAGTAGTATCCTTAATTTCAAGTTCACTGGGATATATGAGATGCATGTACTGACTGAAATATGGGTTATTCAGTGATAGGACATCATCAATATATCTGAAAGTAAAATTAGAGAATTTTGCAAGATGCTTTTTCTTTTTGTCATTTACAAGGTTCGGAATAAATTCTGCTTCATACGAGAACAAAAACAAGTCGACCAAAAGGGGTGCACAATTAGTACGCGTTTGAATACCGACTGTCTGTTGAAATATCAATCCTCCAAACTCAACAAATATATTGTCGATTAAAAAGTCCAGCATTTTAATAATATCATCTTCACTGTATTTTCGGATAGAATCAGTGTGGTTCTTCACAAAATAAGAATTATTATAACCCAAAACAAGAAATTTATATCTACGATTCCCATTTTTAAAGAAAAAGCTCTGTTTAATGAGATGGTGAAGTCGATCTTTCAATTGAGCATGGGGAATAGTAGTGTAAAGCGTAGAAAAATCAAAGGTCTTAATGTTGCTGCAAAATTGCAGTGATTGTGACCTAAGATTTAGCAGTAGATCTTTACAATTTTTGAGAATCCACATCTGATTGACACCACTGGTTGAATATATCTCATCACAATATTTTTGAAGGCCATCTTTTACTGTAGAAAGAATAGTAGTCAACACTTTAGAAAGATGTTTAGTCGAACATCTTGATGATCCAGCTATGTATCGTTCTTTATACGGAGTTTTGTGAAGTTTTGGTATCCAGTATAATGACGGTAGATTTTCTTCGTTTTCTTTGATGTTAATATCAAATGAAAGAAGGACAGATTTGTGATTTTGTAAAAATTCATTCTTTGTAAATGATGTTAAAGAATATGTAGGATTACCAGTTGTGCTGTTTATTCCAAGCTGTTTTGTGAGACATTGCAAATAATGGTTTTTACATACGAAGACAATATTATTGGAAGCTTTATCTGTTGGAACAACGACATATTTGTCATGCAAAGAGGATAAAGCATCCACAACCTCCGAGTTCTTGAAGGAGTAGAAACCCTAGTGCTCATAGTACATCGTAGTTTCTGAATGCGCTATTGAATGCATGATCGAATAGCTTTGATCCATTCAGACAAAGTGTCCAGTTTTGGTTCGTCTGGTTCGCGCTTTACATTAAAACATACACACGCCATCTCATTCAATTAAAAATATTATTTTCCTTTCTATATTTTTAAGTGCATGTCTTTCAATGTACAATAAAATGTTCCACACGAATGAACATCTATTGTCGATTAATTGTTAAAGTGCTGTACTTTATAACTGCACCAACGAACTGTACAGTGACCAAGTGCAATTAAAATTGGAAAACGCCCAAAAAGAAAACAAAGTATGTTTATATTGTTGTTTTTCTGATTTTAATGTAAATGAGGGAATATTACTATAAATAAAAAGTTTTATTGTAGGAAAAGAGTGATTATTATTATGTGAACAACATGTATTTAAATTATAATACCATACCTTAGTCCATATTGTGATAAAGTATTTTAGATATGTTTAATTTCGTAAGGAAAACTGGAATATCTTTCAAACTATGTCATATCTTAACTCATATAATCATGATCGTCATTTTTGAACAAAGTTTAATATACACTTAATCTATGATACAGAATGATATACTTACACTGTCTGCAGCCCACATGGCACACAGTCCAAACGGTAGACAGCACAAAATAGCAAGACCTGAAGGACATATATAATCACAGGGCTCCGATTCCTGTCGTGTAAATAAAGGCACAGTTAATTTTAATTTTAATGGGAAGTAATTAAGTTTCACATTGTTAAGATAGTCTTTTATTGACGAAATTTGAACAAGAGTTATTTCCCTCTTGTCGCTATGTTGGAGGTTGCGTGCAATAATTCCTTTATTTATCAGCAAAGTTCATTTGTTATACTGACCGCTATATATAAAAGTTTTTTTTAACAATTTAAACTTCTTAAAGTCTAGCTAATTCATCACTACGATCTAGTAAGGATATTTAATCAGATTTATTACACCCCATGTTTCATTTTCTACATTTAAAAATGCCTGTACCAAGTCAGGAATATGACAGTTGTTGTCCATTCGTTTGATGTGTTTTGTCATTTGATTTTGCCATGTGATTAGGGACTTTCCGATTGAATTTTCCTCGGAGTTCAGTATTTTTGTGATTTTACTTTTTGGTTAGTCAAATAAGAAACTCTACCATTTACACCTCCAAAATATTGAACACAGAAATAGCTTGAACTCAAATTACAATATAACGAAACAGATCAATTGATTTGGAGATTATATGTTAAAGATCGAGATTATCTAGAACAAATATATACTTTTGTTGAATTAGTTTTCCCTTTTGAGATCTTAACAAAAACTCATCTTAGATGTCTTTTTTAGTGATATATTCGCAATATTATAATTTATTTAAAAACTATGCTCAATGTGGTTTAGCGAAAATTGAAATTCATGTAAGCAGTATCTTTTTACCATAACACTTTAGTTATAAATCAGTTAAATTTGCCAACCTTTATTAAGCAGTTTTTTTAAGTTTCTGGTATACTATTGTTTTAATATCTCTGTATTATGCGTGTTTTGTTGCGAATGGAAATTAAATACATACAAAGTAATTGTTGACCGTCTTAATATAAAGAAAATTTTAAAAAGTGTTCCCGAAAGTTATTTTTGATAGGTATCTCCTATTTTGTAGGAAATTCAATTTCAGATTTTCAGAAAAGCTTAACAACTTCACTAGATACCTTTTTACTGCAGAGCGAAATAACTTAAAATTCTTGGAAAAGCAACAATGTTGTCCCCAGTTTCATTGAAAAACGACAAAAGAGTTCTTTTGTATATGATTTGATGGGGAAATCAAATTTCAGATTTGAAGTCCTGATATGAAAAGTCATCACAAACAAAACCACATTAAACGCCAAACGTTCATCTTTGCCTTGATATTTATCCCCCGAAACTGTACGGGTAACCTCAAATATAATTGAAAGGAGATTTAAGATAAAACAAAAAATCGGTGAATTGACAGTAAATGGGTTATGTCGCAGTTACGGGTAAAAGTTAACTCCAACTGAAAATTACGCCGTATATAGATGATTTGGATACGTATAATGTAAGAAAGAGAAACAATTGTCTAAAATATTAAGTGCGGTGACAAATTAAATTGTTTTATGTGTTTTGCGAGCTTAAGGGGGCTCGCGGGTTCAAATTTTCGCGCCAACTGCGCAGGAAGTTGCGCATCGATATCGCAAGTCATACCTATTGTCGTTATGGCCAATGATAATTAAATTTGAATATTATAAATAATCTATTTCATTTAAATATACAACAAAATAATGTTGTAATTGAAAACTGTAATTCGAGAATTTTATAAAATTTATTATTGCTATTTTCATTGTTGCAAATGCACTTCCGTTTTGTGGTAATGACATGTTCTTGCCGGCTAGAGAAGATAAGCACAAGATAAATCACAATAATCGAACACGTGGGCTGCTTTTCATGAATACTTAAACGCAGATCGAAAATATTAGAACACGATCCCCATTTTAGTAGCTTATGAAGCAGTTTCACAGTTGTTTTACACTAGAAAAGGACCCGCAAAATGTATATAATATTTTATAAACAAACAATGAATAATGTAAGTAATTTTTCTTTAAGTTTCTAGCGATCCATCATTTATTGAAGATTCTTCGCCAGATAATTTACATTATCTGCGAATAATCCCATCACAAGAGTAATTCACGACCATAAAATCATTTGAAAGTAAATTTTTCTTAACGGAAATGGGAAAAAAAACCAAAAACAGGGACAAAAATTAATGTGTATTATAAATTATATAAAACTGAGAATGGATACGGGGAAATATGTCAGGACAACAATCCGACGACCAAATAGCAGAAAATGACCCAAAGCCACCATGGGTATGAATCTATGATGGGTATTCAACACAACAAGAAAATCCAGCTCCCGGAGGCAGGATCCAGCTAGCCCATAAACAATAATGCATTGTCCAGGGAAAATGGACGTCAAACTTAACGGCAAAACATATAAATGAACCAAAAAACAAAATACATACAAGACTAAAAAAGACCAGAATTTCCCGACTTGGGACAGGGTGAGGTACAAACAATATTTCAGCGAGCTTAAACATGTTTTGTCAGATGTTAACCCTCCACTATACCTCTACCCAATGTGGAATAAGCAAACACACAGCAATACCCACACTAAAATGAGTGATGCTCATTGTACAATGTACTTGTGATAAATGTTATGACACATTATTTACAGACCACTTAGGGTCCAGGAGTCGTTTTCACATTAAACTTACAACTAAGATCGATAGTACAATGTAAGTCATAAACAATTCATATACGATCAATGTTAGTTGTGAGGTTTTTTTTGAAATCTACTCCTGGTATGTTGACTAAATCACCATTTATTTGCGGCTTGGCAGGTGTGTTATATATAAAAAAGAAGATGTTGTATGATTGCCAATGAGACAATTCTCCACAAGAGACCAAATGACACAGAAATTAACAACTATAGCTATAGGTCACCCTCCTTCAACAATGAGCAAAGCCCATACCACATAGTCAGCTGTAAAAGGCCCCGAAATGACAAATGTAAAACAATTCAAACGAGAAAACTAACGGCCTAATCTATGTACCAAAAATGAACTAAAAACAAATATGTGACACATCAACAAACTACAACCACTGAAATACAGGCTCCTGACTTGGGACAGACACATACATACAGAATGTTGTCTACATCAGACACCATAAGTAAATTTATACTAATGACCATTTGATTTTTCGGAAAAAAAGGCAGGAGTTTCTTTCTTTGGTAAACAGAATTTTTATTCACTCTGTTGTTAGTTTAGATTATCAGTCCCCTACCAAAGAAGTCGAAGGGGATGTCCATCTGTCAGTTCGGCAAATCAGTTTTCCACACTTTTTTCTTCATGATTGAAGATATTGATTTGATATTTGGTGTATTGTTTTATCATAAGTTACTGATCAAGTTTGAATTATGTTCCGGTCTGGTGTTTTTATGCAAGAGTTATGGTCCATTGACTTCGAAAATTTCGCTCAAATAATCAGTTTTCTGCACTTTTTTCGTCATGCTTGAAGGTATTGATTTGAAAATTGGAACATAGTTTTATCGTGACAAGTAACATATCAAGATTGAATTTTGTTCCGGTCTGATCATTTTGTGCAGGGTTATGGTCCTTTGACTAAGAAAATTCACTTAAATAATCAGTTTTCAAGACTTTTTTGTCATGTTTGGATATATTGAACTGATATTTGTTATACAGTTTACTCCATGACAAGTTATGGATCAAATAAGAATTTTGTTCCAATAGGCAATACAATGAATTTTAACCGGTAGGGGACTATGTATTGTCATACAATACTCGCAGAATGCTTGTTTGAGTATGAGTTGTTTTGCTCTGATTCCTGTTGTTACATACTTGTTTCCCCCAAAATGTGTTTGTCACTAATTCCTGATTGTACTGTGCATACTTCTACTTGGTAATCTGGCTGGAATTTTTAAAGAAATTGATAAAAAATACAAAACAAATATGAACTCTTTAAACATTGTATGTACATTTTTCGGTTGTGCACTGTTTCACGGGGAAAAATCCCCCAAAAAACTAACAGTTTTTCTCAGCTGTATAAATGTAGTATATTTAGGGTCCACCCCTGTAGATTATTCATGTAAAACTTGGCACATATCAACTGTGATTATTTAATAATAACATGGATAAGGTGAGGTGCATATTAAATTATATATTTTAAACAATTTACTGCTGTATTAAAATTTTGTTCTCTTTGCAAAATTTTATGTCAAATGTCTTAATTAATATAACAGTATGTGTTTTGTTAGAACAGTACACTTTTAATGGACAGAATTAAAAAGTTAGATTAATTCAAATCAGGCTATGCTTATAGATTAGTTGGAACTGAAAAAGGGGGTACATGTAATAGTTCTTATAATTATTATCACAGTGGCAAAATGTAAAAGGTTATTCGTGTTATTTCGTTGATTCGATACTAGTACTTTTATAATTTCTTTATTATATACAAATGAATGTACATTTTTTGTACATTTTAACATATGGGAAGTGAACGTCCATATTTTGAGTTAGAGCTGGTAGATATTCTATTCTATTTAATAAATATTTTTGCCTAAAAGTAGAACATTATATAAAAAAAAAAGATGTGGTATGATATCCAATAAAACAAAAGAACAAATGACACAGAAATTAACAACAATAGGTCACTGTACCACAACGTGCCCAACAATGAGCAAAGCCCATACCACATTGTCAGCTATAAAAGGCCTGTAAAAATCTTATTGAGAAATTGCAAGTCTAGTGTGTTTATTTTTTATATTTTCATTTACCAGGTATTGTCTGAAAGAAAAGCAGTTAACAAAATGTTATACTGATATATCCATTTTAATCATTTACCTTAGGTAGTTTATTTTCTACATTTATTAATTTAACAATTTTAACAACATGTACACATATCAATTTTGTGGTTTAAAAAATTTAATATTGGAAAAATGTGCTTTTTTAATGCCCTAATATATTATGTAGCATGTATTTAAAGCAATTGGAGAATCATTCAATGTATCAAGGATTCAAGATTTATTACAATTATTCAAAATTTAAATTAATATATGCCTGTACCTGAAAAATAAGATTATCAAAAGAAGGTGGCTTTACATGCATGACATAAAAATGTATTTTTATATGACCGCAAAAAATTTGTGCGGTCGTATATTGGTATCACGTCGTCGTCGTCGTCCAAAGACACTTGGTTTCCGGACAATAACTTTAGTATTAGTTAATGGAAATCTATGAAATTTAAACACAATGTTTATAATCACAAAAGAAAGGTTGGGATTGATTTTTGGGGTTATGGTTCTAACAGTTTAGGATTTAGGGGCCAAAAAAGGGGCCCAAATAAGCATTTTTCTAGTTTTCAGACAATAACTGGTGGAACGGTGTATGGATCTCTCTGAAATTGTACAACAAGTTTCCATACCACAAAGGGATGGTTAGGATTGGCTCTCGTGTGTAATGGCTCAAATGGGGGGGGGGGGGATGGATGGCGGAAAAGGGGGGGGGGGGGGGTTAAAACGAAATTGTGTGGGGGACAATTTTTTTTTCTCGTTACAGATTTCAGAAATTAAAAAGAAATTCTTCAAATATTATTTTTGTTTGGGGTCAATTCGCAACAGCATAGTGTATTGCACAAAAGCAAAAACAAAGGGGGGAGGGGGGGTAAATCTTTTTTGGGAAAGGGGGGGGGGGGGGCGCTTGGCAACAGCATAGTGTATTGCACAAAAGCAAAAAATTGAATATAAATTTAAATCATATAACCAATTCTAATTCTTTGATTACAGTTATTCTGTGTCAGAAACCTATTATGTGTCAAACATTTAATTTCAATCCAAATTCAGACCTGTATCAAGCACGATTATTGTGTCTATTTTTGCCCCAACTGTTCAGGGTTTGACCTCTGCGGTCGTATCCAGCTGCGCTCGGCGAAGCAATTTATTTTCTACCAATTTAAAATATTTAAGGTTTCCTAATTCTCTCACATGAGTATAAAATGTTCTTGGCCATGTATAATTGAATTAAAGAAAACGACGTGCAAAGGCTGTATAGCCAGTCAAGGTCGTTATAAACCCCCATCATCATCATAATTGAAAAAAGTTATTTGGTCAATTTAGGCCATTACGCATATTTACACATAAAAATTAATACAGAAGCTATAGTAGTATATGAAATGAAAAAGGTACACTTATCAAAATAATTTACTGTTGAGAACTCTATAAATCTCAAAAACACTGTTGTAGCATACAAAACATGTGTGCACTTAAAATTCTTGTAAGAGGGAGGAGAAAACGGGGGGGGGGGGGGGGGGGGGGGGATGACAGGTATTTGCATAACCTGATTATACAGAACAGGATTTAAAAAATTGGCACACTGTGAAAAGAAAGCCATCAGGTTATATGAATAGATTAAACCTGTAAAGTTGGCCTGCTACTAATCAAACCATGCTTTTCAACACTTTTAAATTAGTTAATTTTTTTTTTGAATTTATTGAATCTGAATAAGTAATTTATGGGATCTGAAATATGATCATAAATGAGTACTTTTGTCACAATACTACATGTGGTTATTTATATTTATTTGAAAACAAATTGATTTTATTATGCCCTGCCACAAATGTGGATGGATTATATAGATACTAGTATACCCTTGTCAGTCCATAAGTATGTACATCCCTTTCCAGTTAAGTTTTGCATTTACCTCAATTTCTCAGTAACTAATGGTAATATATCAATGATATTTTTCTCCACAGACATCTTGCATACTAGTAGTACAATACATTACTTCAGTCACTATGACCTACATGTATTGCTTTTGTGTCTTTGGTTAAGTCTTGTGTTTAGGTTCATTTCAGAGAAACCTATTGTGATATATCACCACCACAGTATTCTGTTATGGTACCACTCAGGTCATCAACAATTTGATTACTGTGACGTACATTTAATGGCAGGACATCCTGTGTCTTATAGAAATGTTTTATGTTATGTAATTTCAAAAGCATAAAACGGAAAAATTGACAAATATTAAAAAGGATTAAATGGCGAATGTATCAGGTTCAACTATCTCATTTATTAATTTTTATACATAAACAAGTACTAGAAAATGATAGAAGAATTTGTCTATGTCAAACTTAGATATAAATGGATCCTCTAATAATTATATTATACAACAAACATAGAAGTTGTCCTGTGTGTTATATTTGTCAGCATTGTGTAAAATAATTTCAAGTATATATAAAAAGATGGGATATACGGGGCATGATTGCCACTGAGAAAACTTGCCACCAGAGACCAATAGATACAGAAATTAAGAACAATATGTCCCCGTATGGCCTTCAACAATGAGCCAACTCCATACCGTTTAGCAAGATATAAAACCAAATGACAAATGTAAGGCATTTCAAACATGTCAAAAGAACCTGATTTATGTACAAAACACAAAAAAAAAAAATACCTTCTTGCAAAGTTTCATCAAAATGTGAATACTAATGGTGGAGATCCCTTGGGTGGGATATTTATTGCAGATAAGGGATTGTCTCGTAGACTTAAAAATCAGTGTAAGTCAGGTGTCTGAGTGAGTCTAGGTTTTATAAAAAAGGCAGAGTCTCCAATTTGTATTACAATCAAGCAAGAGATACTTAAATTATCAACTGAAACCAGTGGTATTAAGCAAGACAACGGACAGACAAACTAAGAACTATTTGCCCCAGGGATTCCACAGTTCATATAAATATGCAGGTTTTAAAAACAAACACACCCCTGTTATAATAGATACTGCCTGCTCATTTTTCAAATTGTATGGTCTTGAATTTGAACTGAAAATTAGAAAAAAATCCCCAAAATGAGTGATTTTCCATTTTGACTGCTGATTGCCATGACAACCAATATGCAAATCAACTGCACTTGTTTGAAATGTTATATATATATATAATATATGGTCTTACAAGTATAGAAGGTATAACAAGTTTTTATAACCACGTCTGTTTATATATGGTCCCAAAATTAGAAAAATCTGTCAAAGACAGAGTTATCTTCCTTTTTGAAAAAAATCCCATTATTTTTTATGATGTAAATTTTTTGTTTTAACTAGACGGAGACTTGTTGATTGTATTTTTGATTAATTAAAAAGACTATTGAAGCAACAAAAAAAAGAACACAAATATAAAAAAATCTTATATTAGGTTTCATGAGAGATTCTTCAATAAAACTAGCTTTGCAATCATGTCCCTATCATTTCTATAGTAATCTTGAACGAGAGCCAATAAACTTTAACCCTTCAAAAATTCTTAACTAGACGGTGAACCCATTTTTTTATTTTACTTTTCCCCATTAAGCACATGATAAGACTCATTTATTATTTTTTTTTAGCAAAATCCTATATTACATATTTATACCACCCAGCCACCTTAGATACAAGCTTACCTCTAAATCTTCCTCAAAACAAACATGGCTACCGAAATTGATCAAGTACTGTTGTTGTAGCTCATCTACGTTCACTAGAATCTCTTTGCTGATATTTAACTGAGCTGTAAAACAACAGATACCTCAGCATTATAACTCGGAATACAGAATTCTTTACTTTTTTTTAATACATGCTTTATGATCGGCAGAGATCCAAAAAATAAAAATATTTGTTTTTGGCTAGCTGAGGATAAAACTAATGTTGCTGAAAATATTATTTTGTGCAGAACACTGATGCCAACAACATATTTCGACAGACTACTGGTATTCCAACGGAAACTGATGATGTACTGCCCTACTTGTCTTCGTACTAATATGCAATAGGATTAAAAAAATGTACTTCCCAAAGACAAAAAAAAAGTTCCTGAAAAGTTCTTTAATTGCACTTTCAAGTATATTCTCTTGTCACAATAATCCGAATTACCACGAGTGTTTGTATCTCATCTATCCAAATGAACTTGAGATAATGGATACTACAAAAACTAGATGGTATGCTTTATATCTTAATCTTTCAATAATATCGACACAAATGAACGACTTCAAACTATTTGAACTTTTAAAACGTAAATTTTAGGCTTATTTGGACAAGTAAATGCAATTATATGCTTTCTACCTAATGATTTTCTATCTATATGTTGCATCTCTGCCAATCATAAGTCATGCCATACTCGTACATGTTCAATTATTAGGGACAGAGTTTAATATTTGGAAGAACAATTGAAATGGACACTTCATAAGTTTTATAGTGCCCATCACAAATTTGTTCACGAATACGATGTGTCAGTCAATGAATCAGTCGCGGTCTAAGTTCTTTAGTTATAAGAATAGTCGACATATCTGTTGATTTAACGGTTTTGTCCTATTCCCGATTATAATATTCCTAAATGTATGAGATTTAACATCAGTTAACTCGGTTATCTCAAATTGAGACATATCACATCAATGTTGAACGGTGTATTCACAGGTGCATCAATAAATGATGCATTTTGTTTTACAAAGAAGTTACCTATTGTAATTGTGACTATTATAGAAATTAATGCAATCTTGGTACTTTTTTCATCTTTTGGGAATAAAAGAAACAGATAGTTTGATTCACTAAATTGTCATTATCTGAAACAAGAAAGATAAATTGTCTGGGAGGTTATTTAAAAAAAAAAGGATACATGTAGTATTACATTGTTCCGACTTTAGGTTGGCCTTTCGTGTACCCAAGGAAGGTGAAGGAAGTCAACTTAGGAGAGATATGATTGGATGTAAGGGTATAATATATGTTTTTTTTTAATTTATATATAAATAACTGCAGTGTGTATATTTACTATATAAATTTTTAAAAACATTAAAATATTTTCTTGAGAAATATTCGAAAAGGCTTTAAAATGTTCATAAATTTGATCTAAAATGACGGTGGGCATGGATACCATAAACAAGCTCCGTTCGAAGATAGTTATGGTACCATTTGACTTCAATTTATAAAACAGAATAATAAAGTACTAATTAATATAACACATAACTGTTTTGTCCAGGTTTTTATTATAAACAGTGGCAAATTAAGAAAATGTTAGTGTTGTCGCCTATGGAAGAATAAATACTACCGTTTTCCTTGATAATGATCTGACGATGAGATAATAAAGGATTCATTATGTCCGCTTATATTTGTAGCTGTCTGTTAGGAAATATTGTAGGAAAAGATAAACAATACACAAGTGGGTGTCAGACCTGCCTTTTCTTTTAAATTTACATGGTGACCAAATATATCTGTGTGACCAGGTGGTATAAGGCATAGATGAATTGAATGCAGAACGTTCAAATACTTTATTATGTATTATAAAGAAGGCAACGACAGATCTTATTATGCTGGCTACGGCTCATAGTGTTGTTTCTGGTGTTACTTATTCTGCATTCAATATAGTTAAAAATTACAGTATATATAGTCAAAAGGTGAACTGTCAAACTGGCCAGAACCAGATAAAACAACTATTAAGAAAAGTAATTTGTCCAATAGCCAGTGGTGAGTAAATATCAAAGATCCTAGATAGAGTATTTGGATTCATTGAACCATATAATACAAATATATGTTCAATATAGTAAGATCATTATAATATAGAGTAAATAGATATAAACGAAGTACAAAGTTGGGAATAATATCAAATAGATAATTTGTATATAAATGAACTTGTCCACATACTCCCCAGCTAAGTATTAATCGTCTCGATAATGCAAATATTTATATCCACATACTCCCCAGCTCACATCCTGTCGACGACGCCATATGTGACCAGGTGGAATAAGGCATAGATGAATTGAATGCAGAACGTTCAAATACTTTATTATATACTATAAAGAAGGCAACGACAGATCTGAAATATACAGATAATGACAAATAAATATAACTTTACAAATAAATGCATATGAATATATCATTTTGTAACAAATAATGTATATTATGTTTAATTACACTATTGCAAATAAATAATAATGCAAAACTAGTTAAATGACAACTCTGAATGTAAACAATTTGTTAATTAATGCTAATGAAAACTGTTCACTAAAGTAAGTTGACCATACGTCTCAATAAAATACTATACAACATTGAAAGTTTATTACAGGTAAAAAAGAAAATATAAAGTTTGAAATACAATTAGCAAAGTAAATGAAACTAAATAAAATATTTAAGACAAAAACTTTTAACCATAGATTAATTTGAAAAACCCTTAAACTATAAATACCTTATAATGCTGGCTACGGCTCATAGTGTTGTTTCTGGTGTTACTTATTCTGCATTGACAATATAGTTAAAAATTACAGTATATATAGTCAAAAGGTGAACTGTCAAACTGGCCAGAACCAGATAAAACAACTATTAAGAAAAGTAATTTGTCCAATAGCCAGTGGTGAGTAAATATCAAAGATCCTAGATAGAGTATTTGGATTCATTGAACCATACAATACAAATATATGTTCAATATAGTAAGATCATTATAATATAGAGTAAATAGATATAAACGAAGTACAAAGTTGGGAATAATATCAAATAGATAATTTGTATATAAATGAACTTGTCCACATATGGAAAGAGGGGAAAAGTATGTGTAAATTATATTAAGAACATCCGTTGTTCGACCTGCTAGTCAAATGCGTTTTGTTAAAATATAGTTTTTCACTTTTGGTTTTTTAGAAAATGTTGTTTGTGCTGTATTTAGACCCCTCTACCAAGCAAGTTTATTGCTTTTTGTTTGGTATAAAATTAATAATTAAGATCCATTTTGCTACATCTGGTGATCCGTTTATTTGTCAATCACCATGACAGTCAACAGGGTTTAAGAACATCCGTTGTTCGACCTGCTAGTCAAATGCATTTTGTTGAAATATACTTTTTCACCTTTTTGGTCTTTTGGAAAATGTTTTTTGTGCTGTATTTAGACCCCTCTAAAATTTGTTTTGCATGCACACGTATAAAAATTGCGGTTTTTATCCAACACAAACAAATGTTTGAACGTTGTTTTCAATTTATACTACTTAATTATATTATGTATATACTACAGTATTGGTTATTATCCAAGTTATATTTCTACATTCTATCACTTGCGATAAACAAAACTGCTCTGTTCATTTGTGAATTTTTAAAGGATCTCTTTGACATTAAACAAACAATATCTGTAGAAAATTTGAATAATTTAACCTTCAAAATTAAACAAATTATATAAAACCAATCTTTCTATTCTTTGAGATTACACAAACTCTCGAGTTTGAATAACCTCATATCTTTTCTACCATGCAGTACAAACTACTATAATTTCATTTCTAAATACTATTCTCAAAGCCAGACAATGAACATGTGCTGAAATTGTTTCGTTTTTGCTATGTTACATCATTACATCTGATCGTAGCTTAATGTCAGTTAGTATTTCATAGCGAATCAGAATATAAAGCACATCTAAATTAGCAAGTAAGTAGAAATATAGATGACCTTTAATGTGGATCATGATCTGCTTACCCTTTCGAAGCACACGAGGCCAACACCGGTTTTTACATGGGTTTAGTGTTTAGTTTTTTATGTTGTAATTTTGCGCTAGTTTGTTATCGACTTATTAGTTTGAATATCCCTTTGACATATTTCTCTCTTACACATGTGTGAAGTCTACATACAGCAAACAATAAAGAGTATTTGACAGCAGATGTGGGGTAAACATCATTGATACAACAATTTTAATGAAAACAATAGTTAAAAGAAGTATACTAGTAGAAGGCGACATACAGTTTTTTTTAACAAAAGAAAGATTTGATACAATATGTCAAGTTCTAAATTGTCCCCTGTCTATTCAAGTTGTGACTTACAGAAACAATCAAATATCTTCTATTGACTCCGAATTCATAAATAATGAAAAACATTAAGATATCACACGACAACTGATGAAGTTCCTAACGTGGGACAGGATTCTATGAATTTGTGACTTGGTTTATCTAGTTCGTATAGTTCCCAGCTCTCTGCCATTTTTAATCTCAATCGGAAGAAAACGAAACATACATTGAGGAATTAACAACAAATAACCTGAAATCGCTAAAAATAATCTTGCATTTTAGTCCATTGTTCGACATTTGCAATAATAAATGCACGTTTACATCTCTGAATGTAAGAATATGAAGAATTAGAGAAAAACAATATTTTAGATTTTTCTGACAAAATATATAAAATCAATTACTTATTTTACAATAACATACAATAAACATATATTTATTTACCCATAGTGCGAAATCCAAATGTTTACGATATAGTATCTATACCAAAGACAGAATTATTACACATATGCGTTATTTCTATCTGATCTGGTTTTTTTTATATCTTTAATACATACAAAAAAGGAAGGTCTTTTGAAACCCGAGATAATACCTGTTGTTTACGTGTTTACTTTGCATAGCTGTATTACAAAGTGCGCAGTATATAAGGAGCAGATGTTTGGGTATATATAAGGGATACAGTAACCCAACAATATGATGAAATTAAGATCATATTTTTTCTTAACAACAATATCTTATTTGTTTTGTTTTCAAAACATCTAAATACGTTGGTCAGGTCTGTTTAAGTGGTAAAGTTGGCGGTAGGGAATGAAAAATCCTATCACATACCTGTAATTTGATTGAGTTTGTCCATTCTTTTGAAATTACTTTCGTGCGATTTTGCTGTACGACATCGATCTTGTGTTTAAATTTATGGTCTAACGATATATTGTTGATAATGTAACTCAATTATGGTCTATATCTTATTGCTATGGTCAAGTGGACTGGCGAGGTTTTTGTCATAAGGGGATTGTTTTTTTTTTGGATTAAACAGACAGCGAAAATAAGAAGTTTTTAAGCTTGCAATTTAAAGTAGAAACTAAAGTATTTAAGTCAAATGTATATTGCATTTCAGAAGGCGTTATAGTCTAGATTATCCGAATTTTAAGCGTTTCGTCACATATTTAATAATTTGTATCAAAATACTACTCGGGCTTATAATTGATGCCTCGAAAAAAAATTATTACAAGTCATATAGTGATATTGATTATGCATCGTTTATGAATTATATCTCTAGTTTTACATATCAAATGATAAAAGTTCATTTTTTGAAGCTTCTATAACATGTATATTAGCGATGTTACAACTGAAGCTTCATTCACATGAGTAAAGAGTTATAATGACGACTGTCAGAGACATGATGAGAGTATTACTAAACATAGCTTTTCTCAAAAAACCAATTCATACAGTAATTGCTTCTTTGAAGTCGTTTGCACAGATACTTGATGTTACAAAAACTTAAAGACACCGGCTTATGAATCGGTATACATATACTTGACGATTTAGTGGAAGAAATGTATTGTAGTTATAAGAATAGTCGACATACCTGTTAGTTTAAGGGCTTTGTCTTATTCCCGATTATAACATTCCTAAATGTATGAAATTTAACATCAGTAAACTCGGTTGTCTCAAATTGAGATATATGACATCAATGTTGAACGCTGTATTCACAAGCACATCAATTAATGATGCATTTTGTTTTACAAATAAGTTCCTTATTGTAATTGTGACTATTATAGAAATTAATGCAATCCTGGTATTTTTTTCATAGTTTGGGAATACAAGAAACAGAAAATTTGATTCACTGAATTGTCATATTATGCTACTCATCGTGTTCTAAATGCTAGTCAAAATCGTCGATTAGACGCATTATGTGATGCTATGACAATTGGAATATATCCGTGTCCATATGTGACACAGATATTCCAAAACTGTAAACAAAATAAAAGTGTCGTAAGTGAAAGTTTCCAAGATTGACATTCTTCAGGAGAGGAGCAGAATGTACGTAAGAGATAATCAAACTCATAATTCGAAACGAAAATGACAACGCAATGGCAAAAAAACGAAAGACAACCAAAAGACAAGAATAATTTAACCTTTAAAATTAAACAAATTATATAAAACCAATCTTTCTATTCTTTGAGATTACCCAAACCCTCGAGTTTGAATAATCTCATATCTTTTCTTCCATGCAGTACAAACTACTATAATTTCATTTCTAAATACTATTCTCAAAGCCAGACAATGAACATGTGCTGAAATTTTTTCGTTTTTGCTATGTTACATTATTACATCTGATCGTAGCTTAATGTCAGTTAGTATTTCATAGCGAATCAGAATATAAAGCACATCTAAATTAGCAAGTAAGTAGAAATATAGATGACCTTTAATGTGGATCATGATCTGCTTAACCTTTCGAAGCACACGAGGCCAACACCGGTTTTTACATGGGTTTAGTGTTTAGTTTTTTATGTTGTAATTTTGCGCCAGTTTGTTATCGACTTATTAGCTTGAATATCCCTTTGACATATTTCTCTCTTACACATGTGTGAAGTCTACATACAGCAAACAATAAAGAGTTTTTGACAGCAGATGTGGGGTAAACATCAATGATACAACAATTTTAATGAAAACAATAGTTAAAAGAAGTATACTAGTAGAAGGCGACATACAGTTTTTTTTAACAAAAGAAAGATTTGATACAATATGTCAAGTTCTAAATTGTCCCCTGTCTATTCAAGTTGTGACTTAGATTTACAGAAACAATCAAATATCTTCTATTGACTCCAAATTCATAAATAATGAAATACATTAAGATATCACAAGACAACTGATGAAGTTCCTAACGTGGGACAGGGTTCTATGAATTTGTGACTAGGTTTATCTAGTTCTTTTAGTTCCCAGCTCTCTGCCATTTTAAATCTCAATCGGAAGAAAACGAAACATACATTGAGGAATTAACAACAAATAACCTGAAATCGCTAAAAATAATCTTGCATTTTAGTCCATTGTTCGACATTTGCAATAATAGATGCACATTTACATCTCTGAATGTAGGTATATGAAGAATTAGAGAACAACAATATTTTAGATTTTTCTGACAAAATATATGAAATCAATTACTTATTTTACAATAACATACAATAAACATATATTTATTTACCCATAGTGCGAAATCCAAATGTTTACGATATAATATGTATACCAAAGACAGAATTATTACACATATGCGTTATTTCTATCTGATCTGTTTTTTTATGTCTTTAAAACATACAAAGAAGGAAGTTCTTTTGAAACCCGAGATAATACCTGTTGTTTACGTGTTTACTTTGCATAGCTGTATTACAAAGTGCGCAGTATATAAGGAGCAGATGTTTGGGTATATATAAGGGATACAGTAACCCAACAATATGATGAAATTAAGATCATATTTTTTCTTAAAAACAATATCTTATTTGTTTTGTATTCAAAACATCTAAATACGTTGGTTAGGTCTGTTTATGTGGTAAAGTTGGCGGTAGGGAATGAAAAATCCTATCACATACCTGTAATTTGATTGTGTTTGTCCATTCTTTTAAAATTACTTTCGTGCGAATTTGCTGTACGACATCGATCTTGTGTTTAAATTTATGGTCTAACGATATATTGTTGATAATGTAACTCAATTATGGTCTATATCTTATTGCTATGGTCAAGTGGACTGGCGAGGTTTTTGTCATAAGGGGATTGTCTTTCTTTGGATTAAACAGACAGCGAAAAAAATAAGTTTTTAAGCTTGCAATTTAAAGTAGAAACTAAAGTATTTAAGTTAAATGTATATCGCATTTCAGAAGGCGTTATAGTCTAGATTACCCGAATTTTAAGCGTTTCGTCACATATTTTATAATTTGTATCAAAATACTACTCGGGCTTATAACTGATGCCTCGAAAAAAAATTATTACAAGTCATAAAGTCATATTGATAATGCATTGTTTATGAATTATATCTCTAGTTTTACATATCAAATGATAAAAGTTCATTTTTTGAAGCTTCTATAACATGGATATTAGCGATGTTACAACTGAAGCTTCATTCACATGAGTAAAGAGTTATAATGACGACTGTCAGAGACATGATGAGAGTATTACTAAACATAGCCTTTCTCAAAAACCCAATTCATACAGTAATTGCTTCTTTGAAGACGTTTGTACAGATACTTGATGTTACAAAAACTTAAAGACACCGGCTTATGAATCGGTATACATATACTTGACGATTTAGTGGAAGAAAAGTATTGTAGGATCTGTCAATTTTTATACGTTTATATAGATATACAAAACAATGCATAGTATAATTAAAAAAGAGTTTTGAAAAAAAGCATAAAATCGAATACAAGGACACAAGAAACATCTTTACAATCAAACCAGGTGACCATTATTCAAAATATTTGACAAATAAATTTAGTATCCTGTTTGTTGATATTGAAATAAAAACCTTTTAAAACTTGTTTACTTTTGCACTGCATGTGCACTTTAATACTGATAAAGTGTAACTGAGAAAGCATTCGGGTATGACAAACAAAATAATACATTTAACGATTGAGATAAAAAAAGTGTATGATTGGGATTTCAAGCATTTAATTCCACCCTTTCAACATATGACGCGCCTCTTTGGTCCTTGTATTCGTATCTTAATGTTATTGTACTTGATGGCACACCTTCAAAAGTATGAGTTAACTTTATTTAATAAGTGATGTTTTTATCATTAATTTACCATTACAAATTTTAAAATATATTTAAAAATATATACTTTCATTTTTAAAGGATAGTTATCAATTTTTATGTATTACTGCTCTTTTAGTGTTTAATCGTTATTTTTGTTTGTTTGAGGAAATTACGAAAACAAAGCTGATCATGAATGTTGTTGAAATATATTTTTATGTATTACTGCTCTTTTAGTGTTTAATCGTTATTTCTGTTTGTTTGAGGAAATTACGAAAACAAAACTGATCATGAATGTTGTTGAAATATATTTGTATTCTCGGATTTTAATTTTACCTTAAACAATTTATAATCTAAAAAAAATCATTTTACAATATATAATACCTTGAACACAGAAAAAAAAAATAAATATGCAACACAAACCACACCAAAAAAACCGGCAACGATACCGGGTGCTCTGGAATGGTACTCTTATCCTGTTCCATTTGTGCTACTCATCGTGTTCTATCTATATGTTGCATCTTTGCCAATCATAAGTCATGCCATACTCGTACATGTTCAATTTTTAGGGACTTCTAACAAAGTTTAATATTTGGAAGAACAATTGAAATGGACACGTCATAAGTTTTATAGTGCCCATCACAAATTGGTTCACGAATACGATGTGTCAGTCAATAAATCAGTCGCAGTCTAAGTTCCTTAGTTATAAGAATAGTCGACATATCTGTTAATTTAAGGGCTTTGTCTTATTCCCGATTATAACATTCCTAAATGTATGAGATTTAACATCAGTAAACTCGGTTGTCTCAAATTGAGATATATGACATCAATGTTGAACGCTGTATTCACAAGCACATCAATTAATGATGCATTTTGTTTTACAAATAAGTTCCTTATTGTAATTGTGACTATTATAGAAATTAATGCAATCCTGGTATTTTTTTTCATCGTTTGGGAATACAAGAAACAGAAAATTTGATTCACTGAATTGTCATATTATGCTACTCATCGTGTTCTAAATGCAAGTGAAAATCGTCGATTAGACGCATTATGTGATGCTATGACAATTGGAATATATCCGTGTCCATATGTGACACAGATATTCCAAAACTGTAAACAAAATAAAAGTGTCGTAAGTGAAAGTTTCCAAGATTGACATTCTTCAGGAGAGGAGCAGAATGTACGCAAGAGATAATCAAACTCATAATTCGAAACGAAAATGACAACTCAATGGCAAATAACGAAAGACAACCAAAAGACAAACAACTGTCTGCATTTATATAAATATCTCCCGATTGATATAGAATTCCAGAGCTTGCGTTTCCTATTGTAATTTCCTTGATAGAGGGTTGCTGCTTACAAGAAAGTCATTAAACTAAGAGTTTCAAGTAGTGAAGTTGAAATTACCCCTAAGAAATATTACAATCGCCATCACGAGTTGGTTGATCATTACGTAATATCTGTTTTACAGATGACGACGGATATGTTCCAATTGTCGTAACCACAATCCCGCCCTTCTTTTTCCCGAATGTGGACTGTCGAATTAGACTAATAACCGAGTGTGTACTCATATGAGCAACAGAACGGGTGTCACATGTGATACAGGATCTGCTAATCCGTCTGGAGCACATGAGACCATCCCCAGTTTTTAGTGGGGTTCGTGTTGCTCAGTCGTTAGCTTTCTATGTTATGTTTTGTATACTGTTGTTTGTCTTTTAGTCTTTTTCTTCTTTTGCCATGGCGTTGTCAGTTTATTTTTGATTTTTGAGTTTGAATGTCCCTCTCTTTTCTCATATATTGTAAAACGTTATTTGATAATATCAAATACTTGAAATGTGTCATTTTGAAAGGAAAAAGGCGACGCCCTATGATAAAACTAATTTTGATATTAACTTATTCGAAACAATATGGGTTTTGTACGCCAGATAAAGATTGCCATATCACTATTTAGCACAATTTTTTTAATTTTCGGTTTGTGATGCTCTTCCACTTTTAATTCTATTTGATATATCAATTGATTTGATTCATGAATCATTGATAAGTCTCATGTAATTTAGACGAAAGGAGTGTCTTGAGTACAACGATTTAAGCCTAGTATCTTTGATGCAACTGCTGTAGGAGTTTCATCCCCAAGGGTATCACTAGCCAAATAGTCACCACTTGTGTTGACATAAACTATCATTATTGTGTTTATTTTCTGTAAATTTACGATTTTTATGAAATGTTGAATTATTTTAAAAACAACTGTTTTTAACGATAAGATTCCCACTCTTTCAAACTCGATCAATGAAATACAAAAGGTAATCGAAAATGTACAATGAAATTAGTTCAGAACAACAAACTCGCAGGTACAAGCAAAATAAAAAGACATGATAAAAAGTATCAAATGATGTCAACTTTGCCTGATGACTTGAATTCTTAAGTTCTAAATTTAAGCTCTACTATGTTTTAATTAATGTAAATCGTAATATTAAAAGAGAAACGAAAGAGGCCAAATGGATAATCTCATAGTCGAAAACGGACTGACAATATCATGGCAAAAAACAACCAAGACAAACAACAGTATACAAAACACAACATAAAAAACAAGATACTGCGGAACACGAACCCAACCAAAAACCTAGGAGATCTCAGGTGTTCCAGATGAGTAAGCAGATCCTGCCCCACATGTGTCACCCGTCGTGTTGCTCATGTAAGTACAAACCCGTTTGAGGGTCCAATTCGGGGAAAAGAGGACGGTATTGAGGTTACGATAATTTGAACATATTCGTTGTCATCAACAGATATTCCATTACGGCCAATAAACTCATGATGGCGTCCGTAAATTCGCGAAACGATGATTTCAAGTACACCAATTGGAGGTTTTGGTTAAGTTCCCATGTATATACACATAGATTGCGAAAACCTTGGAGTTAATTACATTTCTTTTTCCCTTGTCTTGTAATTTGAAAATATGTCGCTCTGACGATAAAACAGGCAGGTAGGAAATATATTTTAAAGCAGCTATAATTACAATAGGTTACTCTGTTTTGGGTTAATTTAACGTAAGTGAGAAAAAAATTAAGTATTAAACACAATAAACACAGTGAGTAAAAATGGATATCCGATATCAAAACAAAGATAGTAAACGTCAATAATACTTTAAAGCGAGCCACGGATCATTATTTTGCTTCTTGTCGGGCTCGTTTCGACTTGCAAATAGTGCATTAATGTTTTGTTTCGTTGGCTCAAACATAGCTGTATGTACCGTACATACAATCACTCAGTATTTGATCACAGATAAATATCTATGTGTAGAAGCAAAACAAAAAAAAAGTATTTTGAACAGCCTTAATTGTCATTCAAGACCGTTCTACACACATCTACACACACAGACAAAAAAAAAATATGCAACACAAACCACACCAAAAAACCGGCAACGATACCGGGTGCTCTGGAATGGTACTCTTATCCTGTTCCATTTGTGCTACTCATCGTGTTCTATCTATATGTTGCATCTTTGCCAATCATAAGTCATGCCATACTCGTACATGTTCAATTTTTAGGGACTTCTAACAAAGTTTAATATTTGGAAGAACAATTGAAATGGACACGTCATAAGTTTTATAGTGCCCATCACAAATTGGTTCACGAATACGATGTGTCAGTCAATAAATCAGTCGCAGTCTAAGTTCCTTAGTTATAAGAATAGTCGACATATCTGTTAGTTTTAGGGCTTTGTCTTATTCCCGATCAAACTCGGTTGTCTCAAATTGAGATATATGACATCAATGTTGAACGCTGTATTCACAAGCACATCAATTAATGATGCATTTTGTTTTACAAATAAGTTCCTTATTGTAATTGTGACTATTATAGAAATTAATGCAATCCTGGTATTTTTTTTTATCGTTTGGGAATACAAGAAACAGAAAATTTGATTCACTGAATTGTCATATTATGCTACTCATCGTGTTCTAAATGCAAGTGAAAATCGTCGATTAGACGCATTATGTGATGCTATGACAATTGGAATATATCCGTGTCCATATGTGACACAGATATTCCAAAACTGTAAACAAAATAAAAGTGTCGTAAGTGAAAGTTTCCAAGATTGACATTCTTCAGGAGAGGAGCTGAATGTACGTAAGAGATAATCAAACTCATAATTCGAAACGAAAATGACAACTCAATGGCAAAAAAACGAAAGACAACCAAAAGACAAACAACTGTCTGCATTTATATAAATATCTCCCGATTGATATAGAATTCCAGAGCTTGCGTTTCCTATTGTAATTTCCTTGATAGAGGGTTGCTGCTTACAAGAAAGTCATTAAACTAAGAGTTTCAAGTAGTGAAGTTGAAATTACCCCTAAGAAATATTACAATCGCCATCACGAGTTGGTTGATCATTACGTAATATCTGTTTTACAGATGACGACGGATATGTTCCAATTGTCGTAACCACAATCCCGCCCTTCTTTTTCCCGAATGTGGACTGTCGAATTAGACTAATTACCGAGTGTGTACTCATATGAGCAACATAACGGGTGTCACATGTGATACAGGATCTGCTAATCCGTCTGGAGCACATGAGACCATCCCCAGTTTTTAATGGGTTTCGTGTTGCTCAGTCGTTAGCTTTCTATGTTATGTTTTGTATACTGTTGTTTGTCTTTTAGTCTTTTTCTTCTTTTGCCATGGCGTTGTCAGTTTATTTTTGATTTTTGAGTTTGAATGTCCCTCTCTTTTCTGATATATTGTAAAACGTTATATGATAATATTAAATAATTCAAATTTAAATTGATAATTTAAAAGTAAGCGTAAGGAAATTAAAAACGTACTTGAGATTCAGCAACATTAAATACATAAAGTTAGATACACAACATGTTAGTTAATGATTTCCTGTTCACATTTTAAAAGGAAGGTAAAATATAAGGTTGTAAACAAATGTCTAGTTGAACTCATACGTTACCATTCCACTCGCTTTCAAAGACACTTCTGTTTGAAATTGGCTAGGAGGGAACACGGACTCGCGAAAATACCAATCTGATACTTATAGATTGTGCATCTTTAACATAGTTAATGCAATTTGCAGAATATTTTAAAAGAGTCGCCAAACCCGTCAATCAATCAATTCTACTTCAAAAGGAGTAAAATGATGTGTGTCTTAAAACTATATGTGAATGAAGGAGCACTAGAACCCAGCAAAAATGAAGAAAAAAATAATATAACGATGTGATGTAATTGAAAAAGCACTTATAAATGTCTACATGTTAAAAACTAATTTAATTTTTACACTCATTATAGATAATAAACAATAAAAACTTTATCTACGGTACGATGCTTATAAATAAGTATATTTAAAGAGCGTTAGTTAAACGTATTATACTTTTAAAAAAATGATTATGTTTAGATCTTCATCGTGTTGCTTATTAGGAGATATAGTATTATCAAACATGAATATGAAACAAAATGCATAAACTAAAGTGTTCAAAACAAAAACAAAATACTAATATTATAAAGGTTGCTGTTATCTCCACCAGATGGTCTAAATTATGTTAGATGCATCGCTACTATAATGAAGGCACCAATAACTCCAAAAATATAAGATGCAATAATCAAACCAATAGCCGTATGATTCTTCTCTCTAGCGTCTTCATAATTTCCGCTTTTCCTGTCATTGTTTGCCTATAAATAATTGTTTACTTCAATTAAATTTCATATTAATTATCATTATACCTTTACCTTATTCTACCTTGACCCTTTGCATACAAGGACTATTTCGCCTTTTGATGATTTTCATTGATGAAGTAATGGAGCTTCTTCTAATGAAAACTTAAACGAAATTAGCCTTATTGCTACAATATTCGTTCCGCAGCAATTACACTCGCAGCTGCAAATGCAAACTTAATCACATAATTGGGGCAATATTCCAGAACATGCGTTTTCTATCATAAAGTATCTAATAGAAGGCTACTGCCATCATGGAACCAAAAGGTGTTCATGGAATAGCGAAATCATTTAAAACATACTCACGCAATCTCATTCAATGAAAAATAGTATTTTCCCTTCTATATTTTTAAGTGGATGTCTTTCAATTTGCAATGAAATGTTCCAAGCGAATGAATATTTATTGTCGATTAATTGTCAAAGTGATGTACTTTATAACTGCACCAACGAATTGTATAATGACCAGGTGCAATTAAAATAGGAAAACGCCCAAAAAGAAAACAAAGTATGTATATATTGTTGTTTTTCTGAATGTAATGTAAATGAAGGAATATAACTATAAATCAGTAGTTAGGCCCAAATTTAAGTTCTGATTCTCCAAAGCAGTTCTTACAATACATATATGAAAAACCAAAAAAACAAAAAACAAAAAAAGATGTGCATAAATTTTATGTTTTATTGTGGGAAAAGAGTTATTATTATTATGTGAACAACATGTATTTAAATTATGATAACAAACCTTAGTCCATATTATAATAAAGTATTTTCTGAAGTAATGATTTAGTTTTATATAACTAAAAGGAAAGGATTGTCTAGTTTTATGCGTTAATATAATTGTTAAATTTAAAATTTTGTGTCTATTACAAATATTTGTTAAGTTCACTCGTAAATGTCATATGTTGGGCGACTTACATGTTGAAATATGGCAAAGACACTAACATACTGTTTAGGTCGTATGTTGTTCTTCGGATATCCTTTGCAATAGCGGAGTTTGGGAACTATTTATTGACATATTCCTTACATATCTTTTATCTTTTTAAGAGCTATGAAAGCATAGGGGTAAATATAACATTGAAAGCGATCTAATGTGATCTTTTCTTAGATAGATTATTGATTAAAATGAATGTCAAAATATTACTATTTAAAGGTTATCCTCGGAAAATGAAAAAAAAAAAAAAAAAAAAAAAACATACCCTAAGTTATTGTAAAACATATAATCAAATACATTAGCTGAGAAACTACAACATTCATTATGGTCTATGCCCAAACATTGTCTCCTAAAAGGATGCAATCCTCGAGGGTAGCTGTTCTAAAGTAAAGCTATGATTATTTCCAGGTCTTCATTTTTCACGGAATGACAATGGATAGCTGCTTGACTGCTGCTGTAAAGATGCTAATGCGCCAAGACTAATTGTGTTTCGTCCAACTTATTCAACTTTTCATAAATATATATATATATATATATTTTTAATGTATTTCTTTTCTTTTCCTATGCCGTTCGTCGTCTTTCGTCTATTTGACATAATAAATTGATTTAATTGATGAAGACCTATAGCAAGGAAAGAATTTGAAACTTTGATAAAGATAACGAAAGGCAATAGTAGTATACCGCTGTTCAATAGTTATTATTCGATTAAGCAAAAACAAATCGGGTAACAAACTTAAACCGAGGGAAACACATCATCTATGCAGAAAGTATTATTAATAACTAGAGATATGTCTAAATTCTTAAGAAAAACAGGGGATATCTTTCAAACTATGTCATATCTTAACTCACATAATCATAATCGTCATTATTTTTAAACAAAGTTTAATATACACTTAGTTTATGATACAGAATTATATACTTACACTGTCTGCAGCCCACATGGCACACAGTCCAAACGGTAGACAACACAAAATAGCAAGACCTGAAGGATATATATAATCACAGGGTTCGGATTCCTGTCGTGTAAATAAAGGCATTGTTAATTTTAATGGGAAGTAATAAAGTTTCACATTGTCAAGATAGTCTTTAATTGACGAAATTTGAACAAGAGTTAATTCCCTCTTGTCGCTATGTTGGAGGTTGCGTGCAATAATTCCTGTATTTATCAGCCAAGTTCAATTGTTAAACTGACCACTATATATAATTTTTTTTTAACAATTTGAACTTCTTAAAGCCTAGTTTAATTCATCACTACGATCTAGTAAGGATCTCTAATCAGATTTATGTATACCCCATGTTTCAATTTGGTTAGTCAAATAAGAAACTCTACCCTTTACACCTCCAAAATGGTGACCAGAGAAATAGCTTGAACTCAAATTACATCATATCGAAATAAATTATTGTTTTTGTGATTATATGTTAAAGATCGAGATAATTTGAAAAAATATATACTTTTGTTGAATTATTTTTCTCATTTGAGATTTTATACAAGTCATCTTAGATGTCATTTCAGTGATTTATTAGCAATATTATAATTTATTTAAAATCTATGCTCAATGTGGTTTAGCGAAAAATTGAAATGCATGTGAGCAGATTTTTTCATCATAACACTTTAGTGCGCTTTCGCTTATACGCAAAGATCAGTTAAATTTGCCAACCTTTATTAAGCAGTTTTTCAAGTTTCTTGTATACTATTGTTTTAATATTTCAGTATTATGCGGGTTTTGTTGTGAGTTGGAATTAACTACATATAAAGTATTTGTTGACATGCTTAATATATAGAAAATTTTAAGAATTGCTCCCGAAAGTGTTATATTTGATAGGTATCTCCTATTTTGTAGGAAATTCAATTTCAGACTTTCAGAAAAGATTAACAACTTCACTAGATAAATTTTTAATGCAGAGCGAAATAATTTAAATTCTTGCAAAAAACAACAATATTGTCCCCAGTTTCATTGAAAAACGACAAAAGAGTTCTTTTGTATATGATTCGATGGGGAAATGAAATTTCAGATTTGAAGTCCTGATATGAAAAATCATCACAAACAAAACCATATTAAACGCCGAACGTTCATCTTTGCCTTGATATTTATCCCCCAAAACTGTACGGGTAACCTCATATATAATTGAAGGAGATTTGAGATAAAAATAACAAAAACGATGACAGTAAATAGGATATGTCACAGTTTTGGTAAAATTTAACTCCAACTGAAAATTACGCCATATATAGATGATTTTGATACGTTTAATGTAAAAAAGAGAAACAACTGTCTAAAATATTAAGTGAGGTGACAAATTAAATGCCGGCGTTAAGATTTAATGTACTGACCCTCTTCCTCTTTTTTCATCAAAATTTGCTTAATACCGTACACACATCGCATATCCATCTACTTGGAAAATATCTATATTTATATAGGGATAATGAAAACATATACGTAGCCAATGCAGGAAGTGCATTTCCATATACCTTTTATAGAAACTTAACATTAATTTATTGTTTAATAAATCATGATAATTATATTATACAGAATATCTGATACGAAACGGAAATCTTTCTCAGAAGTACTGGTTATCAATGTAGCTATTTTTGATCGAAATATGGAGAAATTATCAATTTTATAACAGGGAAAGGAATGTATAAAACAAAACCAAAATTGTACTTATATAAAATATGAGTAATTCACCAAAAAAACATGGCTACCGAAATTAATCGAGGACTGTCGTTGTAGCTCATCTACTTTTAGTTTACTACAATCTCTTTGCTAATATTTAACTGAGTTGTAAACAACAGATACCTCAGCATTCTGACTCGGAATAAAGCATTCTTTACTTTTTATTAATAAATGCCGTATGATTAGCAGAGATCCAAAAAATAATTATATTTGTTCTCGACTAGCTGAGGATAAAACTAATGTTGTTGATTAGGAAAAATATTATTTTGTGCAGAACAACACTGATGCCAACAACATATTTCGTCACACTGCCGGTATTCCAAAGAAAACTGATGATGAACTGCCCTACTTGTCTTTGTACTAGTATGCAATAGGATTAAAACATTATCTTCCCAAAGACAAAAAAAAAGGTTCCTGAAAAGTTCTTTAATTGCACTTTCAAGTACATTCTCTTGTCACAATAACCCGAATTTCCACGAGTGTTTGTATCTCATCTATCCTATTGAACTTGAGATCATGGATACTACAAAAACTAGATGGTATGATTTATATCTTAATCTGTTCCATAATATTGACACAAATGAACGACTTCAAACTACATTTTATAGTGCCCATCACAAATTGGTTCACGAATACGATGTGTCAGTCAATGAATCAGTCGCGGTCTAAGTTCCTTAGTTATAGGAATATTCGACATATTTGTTAATTTAACGGCTTTGTCTTATTCCCGATTACAACATTCCTAAATGTATGAGATTTAACATCAGTAAACTCGGTTGTCTCAAATTGAGATATATGATATCAATGTTGAACGCTGTATTCACAAGCGCATCAATTAATGATGCATTTTGTTTTACAAATAAGTTCCTTATTGTAATTGTGACTATTATAGAAGTTAATGAAATCTTGGTATTTTTATCATCGTTTGGAAATACATGAATCAGAAAATTTGATTCACTAAATTGTCATTATCTGAAACAGGAAAGATAAATTGTAAATGTCTGGGAGGTTAGGTTTAAAAAAAAAAGGATACATGCAGTATTACATTTTTCTGCCTTAGGTTGGCCTTTCGTGTACCCAAGGAAAGTGAAGGAAGTTGATTTAGGAGAGCTGTAATTGGATTTAAGAGTATAATATGTTTTGTTTGATTTATCTATGAATAACTGCAGTATGTATATTTACAATATAAATTTTGAAAAACATTGAAATATGTTCTTGAGAAATATTCGAAAAGGTTCAAAATTTTCATAAATTTGATTTAAAATGACGATGGGCATGGATACCATAAACGAGCTCCGTTCGAAGATGGTTACGATACCATTTGACTTACTAATATCACACATTACTGTTTTGTCCAGGTATTTATTATAAAAAGTAGCAGTTATAAATGTGAAAGCTCTTAAAATTTACATGGTGACCAAATATTTCTGGAAAGAGGGGAAAAGTATATGTTAATTATATTATGAACAAGTCTAAATTGAAAACAACGTTCAAACCTATGATTGCGTTGGATAAATACCGCAATTTTTATACGTGTGCATGCAAAACAAATTTTATCTGCTCTTTGGTCGGGTTGTTGTCTCTTTGGCATATTCCCCATTTCCATTCTCAATTTTATTCTTGGTAGAGGGGTCTAAATACAGCACAAACAACATTTCCCAAAAGACCAAAAAAGTGAAAAGGTATATTTAAAAAAAACGCATTTGACTAGCTGGTCGAACAACGGATGTTCTTAAGCCCTGCTGACTACCATTGGCGATTGTCAAATCAACGGAACACCAGATGTAACAAAATTGATCTTATGTTGATACTTCAGTATTGGTTTATATCTAAGTTATATTTCTACATTCTATCAATTGCGATTAACAAAACTGCTCTGTTCATATGTGAATTTTAAAAGCATCTCTTTGACATTAAACAAACAATATTTGTAGAAAATTTGAATAATTTAACGTTCAAAATTAAACGAATTATATAAAACCAATCTTTCTATTCTTTGAGATAACCAAAACCCTCGAGTTTGAATATTCTCATATCGTTTCTACCATCCAGTACAACAAAACAAATTACTATAATTTCATTTTTAAATACCATCCTTAAAGCCAGACAATGAACATGTGCTGAAATTGCCTCGTTTTTGCTATGTTACATTATTACATTCGATCGTAATTTTAATGTCAGTTAGAATTTCATAGCGAAACAGAATATTAAAGCACATCTAAATTAGCAAGTGTATAGTAATATAGATGACCTTTAATGTGGAGTATGATCTGCTTACCCCTCCAAAGCACACGAGACCAACCCCGGTTTTTACATGGGCTCAGTGTCTAGTTTTTTATGTTGTCTTTTTTCGATTTTTGCTAAGGTATTTTCAGTTTGTTATCGAGTTTGAATATCCCTTTGGCATCTTTCTCTCTTACACATTTGTGAGGTTTACATACAGCAAGCAATAAAGAGTGTTTGACAGCAGATGTGGGGTAAACATCAATGATACAACAATTTAATGAAAAAAATAGAAGAAGTATACTAGGAGAAGGCGACATACAGTTTTTTTTACAAAAGAAAGTTTTTATACAATATGTCAAGTTCTAAATTATCCCCTGTCTATGCAAGTTGTGACTTGGATTTACAGAAACAAATATCTTCCAATAACTCCCAATTCTCTAAATAATGAAATACATTAAGATACCACAAGAGAACTGTTGAAGTTCCTAACGCTGGACATGTTTCTATGAATTTGTGACTTGGTTTATCTATTTCTTTTAGTTCTCAGCTCTCCGCCATTTTAAATTTCAATCGGAAGATAAACAAAACATACATAGAGGAATTAAAAACAAATAAACTGAAACCGCTAAAAATGATCTTGCATTTTAGTCCATTGTTCGACATTCACAATAATAAATGCACGTTTACATCTGTGAATGTAAGGATATGAAGAATTAGTGAAAATCAATATTTTAGATTTTTCTGACAAAATATATGAAATCAATTACTTATTTTACAATAACATACAATAAACATATATTTATTTACCCAGAGTGCGAAATCCAAATGTTTACGATATAATATCTATATCAAAGTCAGAATTATTACACATATGCGTTATTTCTATCTACTTAGTAATCTGTTTTTTTTTATTTCTTTAATACACACAAATAAGGAAGTTCTTTTGAAATCCGAGATATTACCTGTCTGTTGTTTACGTGTTTACTTTGCATAGCTGTATTACAAAGTGCGCAGTATATAAGGAGCAGATGTTTGGGTATATATAAGTGATACAGTAACCCAACAATATGATGAAATTAAGATCAAATTTCTTCTTAACAACAATATCTTATTTGTTTTGTATTCAAAACGTCTAAATACGTTGGTCAGGTCTGTTTATGTGGTAAAGTTGACGGTAGGGAATGAAAAATCCTATCACATACCTGTAATTTGATTGTGTTTGTCCATTCTTTTAAAATTACCTTCGTGCGATTTTGCTGTTCGACGTCGATCTTGTTTAAATATATGATCTAACGATACGTTGTCGATAATTTAGCCCAATTATGGTCTATATTGTTTTGCTATGGTCAAGTGGAGTGGCGACGTTTTTGCCATAAGGGAATTATCTTTCTTTGGATTAAACAGACAGCGAAAAAAAAAGTTTTTAAGCTTGCAAATTAAAGTAGAAAATAAAGTATTTAAGTCAAATGTATATCGCATTTCAGAAGGCGTTATAGTCTAGATTACCCGAACTTTAAATTGTGTTTTGTGTACTATTGTTTATCTGTTTGTCTTTTTCTTTTTTAGCCATGGCGTTGTCAGTTTATTTTCGATTTATGAGTTTGAATGTCCCTCTGGTATCTTTCGCCCCTCTTTTAACCGTTCCGTCACATATTTAATAATTTGTGTTAAAATACTACTCGGGATTATAATTGATGACTCGAAAAATTATTACACGTTATATAATCATATAAATTTTGCATCGATTATGAATTATATCTTTAATTTTACATATCACATGATAAAAGTTCTCTTTTTGAAGCTTCATTTCTATAACATGGAAATTAGCAAGAACAAATGGTTAAATGCAAACGATGTTACAACTGAAACCTCATTCACACGAGTCAAGAGTCACAATGACGACTGTCAGAGACATGATGAGAGTATTACTAAACATAGTATTTCTCAAAAACACAATTCATACAGTAATTGCTTATTAGAAGACGTTTGTATAGATATTTTATGTTAAAATTACTAAACGAGACCGTCTTATAATTTGGTATGCTTGACGATTTAGTGCAGGAAATGTATTGTAGGATAATTCAAGTGTGTATAGTTTATATAGATATACAAACAAATGTATTGTATAATATAAAAACGAGTTTTGAAAAAAGCATAAAATCGAATACAAGGACACAAAAACCATTTTAACCACCAAACCAGGTGACCATTATTCAAAATATTCGACTAATAAATTTGATATCCTGTTTGTTGATATTGAAATACAAAACCTTTTAAAACTTGTTTAATTTTGCACTGCATGTGCACTTTAATACTGATAACTTTAAGCATAACTGTGAAAGCATTCGGATATGACAAACAAAATAATACATTTAACGATTGAGATAAAAAGATGTATGATTGAGATTTCATTCATCTAATTTTAACCTCTTCAACATTTGACGCGGTGCCTCTTCGGTCCTTGTCTTTATTTGTATCTTAATGTTATTGTACTTGAAGGCACACCTTCAAATGTAGGAGTTAACTTTAATAAGTGTTCATGTTTTTATCATTAATTTACAATTACAATTTTTAAAATATATTTAAAAATATATACTTTCATTTTTAAAGGATAGTTATCAATTTCTACGTATTACTGCTCTTTTAGCGTTTAATCGTTATTTGTCTCGTTTGAGGAAATTACGAAAACAAAACCGAAAATGAATGTTGTTGAAATATATTTGTATTCTCGGATTTCTATTTTACCTAAAAAAATTTATAATCACAAAATAAATCATTTAGCAATATACAATACATGAAATACAGAAACAAAAAAAATATGCAACACAAACCCCACCAAAAAAAAAACGGGAATAATACCAGGTGCTCTGGAATGGTACTGTAATCCTGTTCCATTTGTGCCACTCATCGTGTTCTTAATGCAAGTCAAAATCGTCGATTAGTCGCATTATGTGATGCTATGACAATTGGAATATATCCGTGGCCATTTGTGACACATATATTCCCTAACGGTAAACCAAATAATAATGCCGTAAGTGAAGGTTTCCAAGATTGACACTCTTCAAGAGAGAAGTTGTCTAGTTGAACTCATAAGTTTATATATAACACATGCAAAATAGAATAACAACTAAATGAAGTAAGGTAGGTTGAGTGGACAGGGTAATAACCCTCTGATATGCATGAATCACATACCACTGGCTTTCAAAGACACTTCTGTTTGTAATTGCCCAGCAGGGAACACGGACTTGCAAAAATATCAATCTGATACTTATATAGTGTTCTATCTTTATCATAGTTTATGCAATTTGACGAGTATTTTAAAAAGAGTCGCCAAACCTTTCAATCAATCAAGTCTACTTCAAATGGAGTAAAATGATGTTCGTCTTGAATGGAGGAGCACTAGAACCCAGCAAAATCAAGAAAAATTAATATAACGATGTGGTATAACTGAAAAAGCATTTATTTAAAAAATTAATTTAATTTTGACGCTCCATTATAGATAATAAGTAATGAAAACTTCATCTACGGTACGATGCTTATAAAATAAGTATTACTAAAGAGCGTTATTTTAACTTTTAAAAACGTAATCATATTGAGATCTTCATCGTGTTGCTTATTAGGAGATATAGTATTATTAAACATGATTATAAAACAAAATGCATAAACTAAAGTGTTCAAAACAAAAACAAAATACTAATATTATATAAGTTGCTGTTATCTCCACCAGATGGTCCAAATTATGTAAGATGCATCGCTAGCATTATAAAGGCACCAATAACTCCAAAAATATAAGATGCAATAATCAAACGAATAGCCGTATGATTCTTTTCTCTAGCGTCTTCATAATTTCCGCTTTTCCTGTCATTGTTTGCCTATAAAAAAATGTTTACTTCAATTAGCTTTCATATTTATTATCATCATACCTTTACCTTATTCTACCTTGACCCTTTGCATACAAGGACTATTTCACCTTTTGATTATTTTCATTAATGAAGTGATGGGGCTTCTAATGAAAAATTAAAAGAAGTAAGCCTTATTGTTAAAATATTCGTTCCACAGCAACATTCCAGTCACACCTTCAAATGCAGTCTTCATCGCATAATTGAAGCGATATTCCAGGACTTGCGTTTCCTATAATAAAGTTTATGATAGAGGGTCACTGCCGACATGGAACCAAATATATTTAATGGAATAGGCGAAATCATCTCATATGTTGATGTTCAAAGGGAAAAGTGAGACAAAAGAGAAGGTGAATTTAATGATTCGATCAAAGTAATTTCAATTACAACAGAAACATTTTTAACATGCAAAGAACACGGAAATATCTATTTACAAATTACCTACTTTTATTCACATAATTAAGAGTATTCTTTTTATGATCTTAACTTTTACATTCCTACACATAGAGATGGGTTTGTATTAAATAGAACACTTACACTGTTTGCAGCGAATGTAGCACACAGTCCAAACGGAAAACAACAGAAAACTGCAACAATTGCCAGATATATATAATCAGTGTATGCTTGTTTCTTTTGGTCCATCTAAATAAAAGCAATTTTGATCTTAATTGTAATTATAAGGAGATTTTGGGCTATCAGTTTAGTCATTATTGAATATGATTCTGGATGAATTTGCTAAACAATTTATGTACACACCTTTATCAGGAATTATATTTTTTTCTATCGGTTGTCGTGGCAGGATAGATCTTTCTTCAATTGTCTTTATGAGTGGCCTGAGTAGTTTATTGATTTAATAGGTTTAACTCAAGTATAAAAGGGTTTTTGGTTCTACCTATGCACTCCGATTTCAACCACCAAGAAAAGCTGGCCGCCATGGTATAGTCAAGTGTACTGCAGGTGGTGTTAAAAACCAACATCCGTCATCGGATTTAAATGTCATACTTAACCACCGATCATTCAGATTGCGTGTGGGGTCTGTGAGTCAAATTTTATGTTAATTGTTCGATTCTAAAAATCTTGAAAACAATAGTTTACTTCAGAACGGAACTATAAAAAGTAGTTTGTTTCAGAAGTGAAGTTAAACAATTTGTTCATGACCTTTGAAAATAAAAAGAAATGAGAGCAACATTTAATTTATTAATTTTAAAAATATGGTTGCCCTCTCAAAGAAGGTTATGTCTCTATTACATACTAAGTGTGGGGAAATAACGATATTTTTCGCATACTCAACATATTTATGTTACTACATGCAAGTTTTCCTCTAAAAAGTTTGTTAACCGTCTACATCTACAGAAATTGGTCAAATGCATTCTGTGTGATACAGTGTATCTTTCAGAATTCACATTTTGCTATAGAACATTTTGCTTTTCTAAAAGAGAAACGAGATATACTAAAGGGATATTCAAACTCATCAGCAGAAAACAAACTGACAATTCCATGTCAAAAAACGAAAAATGACGAAAATACAAACAACAGTACACAAACCACAACAAAGAAAACTAAAGACTGACAAACACAAACCTCATAAAAAACCGGGGGAGATCTCAGGTGCTCTAGAAGGGTAGGCAGATCTTGCTCCACATGTAACAAGCACCAATGGCTCTTTTCACAAAAAATCTTACGACTAAAATCGATCGTAAGTTATACTGAAATATTCATGACTTACAAGTATTTTTTATCATAAGAATTTGTGTGAAAATTCTTAAGTCGATCTTAGCAACAATAATTTTATTTCAATATCAAGAGCAATTCTTTTGTTAAATGACTTTTTTTATTTATTTCATGTTGATTGTTCATACAATAAAAATCTCTTTTCAAACACCGTTATTTTTACCAATATTGTAAAACTGCTGTGGGATGGGTTTGAAGTAGTACTAAAAAGAATCCATTGACGGACAGAGATATACACCATATATAGATATGCATATGTTCAATGATGAAAGAAGGAAGTTAAAAATCTGAAATATGGTTTTGAGTAAGGGAGTTGTAGGTCTTAGTAGGAATATTTTTTTGAGTTAGGTGACACATAAGCTGATGGATTTACGTTCTTTACTCTTCCATTTCCTCTTTTTCAAAAGGATGCCCTCAAAAAATAAAATAACAAAAATACCGACTTCCAAGGAAAATTTAAAACAGAAAGTCATTTATCAAATGGCAAAGTCAAAAGCTCAAACACATCAAACGAATGGAAAACAACTGTCATATTCCTGACCTAGTACAGGCATTTCCTTATGTAGAAAATGGTTGGTTAAACCTGGTTTTACAGCTAGCTAAACCTCTCACTTGCATGACAGTCATATAAAATTCCATGATATTGACAACAATAGATTGTTAAATATACAATATTATTCTAATCTATCCAATAATAATCTTAAATGGAATTACTGATAAAAAAAAAATGTCCGATCTAGTACAGTACATTATAATGCCTTATATTCAGGAAATTAACAAAAACAGTGTAGTTAGTGCAAAACTTCATTATAATAATTATCTGTAAATGTCAGACTTAAGGCTCAAACTGTATAGGAATTGTGAAAATGATACGGGAAAAGTTTAGTGTGAAACTCAATCACTAAATAGTTTTCATATATCGTATGTGTCTAAAATAGAAAAAAAATATTCTCACAGATATATTGTTGGAAGGGTGTATGGGTGTATAAGGAGATGTAGAAATAAATGTAAAGGAACTTACTCTATGAGTTTAATACAAGTTAATGTCATTTTCTCAAATACTCTGAATGATGTTAATCCAAAGATGCCACATTTCTTGACTTATAGGAAAGACATACTGTTTCACGTGGTGTTTTTTTTTTTTTGCGAACTTCAATAAATGTTGCCCTTACCCTGCATGTTTGTAATTCTTCTGCAAAGCATCCATTGCTACCGGAAGTGATCCAATCCTGCCTTTGTAGTTCACCTACGTCTACTAAAATCTCATTGCCGGTATTAAGCTTAGCTGTAGAATAACATGTAATTCATGATGAAGCAAACAACTAATCTTTGATTTGGTCCAGCTGAACACGTTACTATGTAATCCATTAATTTCAATTTCTTCCTTATAAGCAGCAATAATGTAGAATATACGGTAGTGGGGATCTTAGTAGATATTAAGATGAAAAATCTAAAAAGCTAGAAATTGGAGAATATAGTAAAGATAAAGGGCCATTAATTTGTTACATTACCCTTATAGCAATAATTTACTAATGAATTACATTACATGTGAAGACCTGATCATTGAGATATTCCAATCGTTCAAGTTGAAACTTCTGATCAAAATGAAAAGTAAAATCACAAAAATACTGATAGATTGTTTGACCTTGATGCTGCAGAAGATTTCAGAGCTCAGTTGAAATCTAAAACAATAGACGTCATCATGGTAAAAAGGAAGGACGAAAGCAAAAAATACAAATAACAGTCGACGAAACATTAATAAAAAAAAAGATGAAGAGACTAGGATACTACGTTGCACAAAAGGATACATTTCCATTGTTTTATCGAGAAAAAAACTCAGTTTGCCTTTAGGCTAGTTGACACATTTTCATACAACTTATATCATTTCTCGTGAAAACCTGTTAGTGCACCATACTGTGCTCTACTCATGCTTACTTTTCGCTATTATTTCGTTCTTAAAAAGGCTATCGTTTTTACAAACACCTTGGTATGGTTTGAAAACTGTAAATGGTACGGGTACCCCAAACACCGTAAAATATCGATATCTCTTGTATTAAATCCATCAACGACATGCGATTCTTGTAAACATTATCAAAATAAAAAGAAACCAATACTGTTTTATGCTCGCATAGAATTATATTATTTATGTGATGAGAACATCGTATTAATCTTAAATTGGTACAGATTATACTCCATCTATGAAAGTATTCAGTTTTCACCACTGCCAAAATTTTTAATCAGATGAAATTCTTATTTCAGTATAGATAGGCATACCAAAATAAATCAGTGATTTGCTCTACCTTGTTTAGCATAATCTTAATTTTCATTGTGATGACAAATATGTAACAACGTGCTTTTTCGATTTTCAGTATATTTAAACAAAATATCTAACCTCGAAAATGGCAAAAGGCTTTTATGTGCATTTAAAAATAGAAGATTGTATTCATTTCAAAATTGTGCTTAAACCATTATTGCACTGCAATGTTAGTCACCTAGTTTAAATTTTTTAATCACGAAATATAGTGCTGCGGACATGGTGCAGCTATAAAAAAATACATTTTGACCAAGGCTTGACAGTTAAAATATAAAACAGTTGAGATTAAAAAAAAAATATGGATTTTTACTAGCTTTTCTATACCATTCTTCTCGATTAACTTGAATAAGAATATGTATAAGAATATAGATAAAAATACAAATACAAATAAGAATACAAATAAAAATAAGAATAAGAATGAAAAATATAGGATTATAAAATAAATAGATACAAATTCATTTAACTGATAACAATCAATAGTCAAAATTATGAAAAGGCTGATTTTATTTTCTTTCAAACGCTATATGTGCTAACTAATGAATTAGTTTAAAACAAAATAATGAGATCAATTAATTAATTATATTAGCATATTGTATATAATAGATTTTTTTATTTACCCATAGTGTTTAGTCCAAACGTTGACGATATTATATTTATATCAAAGTGATGAGTTAATTCAAAATGTACATCTGCGTTCTTTCAATCTGCATATGTTTTGATGATTTTCTTTAATACATTCAAATGCGGAAGTCTTTTTATAACCTTTTAAAGATACACGTATGTTTTATTCTTGTTTACTATGCTCACCTGAAGATCAAAAAGAATGCTTCAAGTTCATATTCTATTTGTAATTTAAAAGACGAAATTGGTCAACTTTATTACAGCAAATAAAATTATATAAATATGAATAAATTCCTGGATGAAAACGACGATATTTTTCAAAATTTGATATCAAACACACCATCATCTCGTTGAAATTGGCTTTCAGAATATACAGTATGAAAATAAAAGTCATTGCCAAAACTAAAAGTTTTACTTAAAGATAAGAATTAAAGCAAACAAAAGTTTGCTTTTACAGAGACTTGGAAATTGTATGCAAAAAATCAACATTACTGTGGATTCATTATTATTCGTTAGATACCAATTTTCGTGGATTTCGTGGTTACAGGTGAACCACGAAATTAAATGATCAACGAATAACAACTTTTCTATAGGCTTGTATGCAGACTTCGGCAAAACCACGAAATTAAATATCCACGAACATGTAAGTTTTCTTTAATCCACGAAAATAAATGAATCCACAGTATATAAATATTAAAGTGGAAATTGTTACATGGTATATTGCCATGTAAACAAATATTCGAAAGCTGGAAATAGTTGATACTCTTTTATAAAATAAATACAATGTTGAAGAAAAATTTTGAACACATCGTTATCACCTGCAAATATTTTGAAATATTTTGGGAAAATATTAGATAAATTCTTGATAAACTAAAACTTGGATATCATATTATAAGCTTAGAAAACTTAATATTTGGTAATAAAAGAAGAGATGAAAAAAAAGAACTACTGTAAATTCAAAATTTTTTGCGAGGTTTTAATTAAAGCGAATAATGCGACTGAGTGAGTATCGCAATAATTAGAACTCGCATTCTGATATCTGATTCATATATCTTAATGCAGATTTTCCTGTTATCACGATAATTCATCTCGCATTTTTGTCCACTCTTTGAAAAATCGCAACAATAAATGCACATAGTAATTTCTGAATTTACAGTGTTATAAAATATGTTTGTGTATAGTATTATTTAGTATAAAAAGAGCATGCTATTTATCAAATAGAAAAACACAGAAGTTAATGTTTCCTATACTTAAATATGAATTTCTGATTGACCTTTACAACGCAATGGAACATGAAGTAAGCTAAATGCTACAAAAACTGTCAATTATTTTAAAAATATCTTTTTCTATTTAACTGAAACTTTAATACCATTAACTGTTTAGGCGCATGAAGTTTCAGAGACGCGATAAAAATTAGAATTTCAAGACAAACTGTGCTAATAATAACACGAAAAAAAAATGTTTGTAATTTGTAATTCTTTTTGATTTGTTTGGTTGCTTGATTTAAGTCAAACTAAATTGTTATATACTCACAAAATGTAAAATCAAATCCTAATTACAACATGTTTGTATAATACTATTTTAAAGACGATTTAAGAGTAACATTATGTAACACAGAAAAGCACTGGTATGTATCCGCAAAATCGTAAATTGTACTATTCAGAAATATTTAGCAATGGGTTAGCCTATTATTTATAGTATTAATGGCTTCTATGGAAAGCTGAAGTATTTATTCTTCCATAGGCGACAATACTAACATTTTCTAAATTTACCATTTTTTATAATAAAAACCTGGACAAAATGGTTATGTGTGATATTAGTACTTTATTATTCTGTTTTAGAAATTAAAGTCAAATAGTATCATGACCATCTTCGAACGGAGCTTGTTTATGGTATCCATGACAACCGTCATTTTACATCAAATTAATAAAAAAATTTGGAAGTCTTTTCGAATTATTCTCAAGCAAATATTTCAATGTGTTTCAAAATTGATATTGTGAAGATAAGATTTATTTTATTAATATACACACTGCAGTTATTCGTAAATGAATAAAAAAATATGAATTGCCCTTACATCCAATCACAGCGCTCCTAAGTTAACTTCCTTCACCTGACTAGAGTACACAAAAGGCCAACCTAAAGCCGAGAAAATGTAATGCTACTGTATTCACTCTAAAGCTATATTCTTAAAGTTAAAGGTAACATTCATTCAGGAATCGATATCAATTGTACACAAGTACAGTTTTAAAATATGCGTAATTAAAACTATGAAATAAAACAAATGCTAAAAGGGTCGTACATGTTAATACCCTTCCAAGAATAACTCATGCAAGCGTTTTTGCTTATTTCCAATGGGGGTCCTTAAAGTGTATAGCGCTTCAATTAAAAGAAATCAGGAAATTAAGAGGAGTCACAAATAAATATGCAATTCACTTATTTTTCATATGTTGCTTGACTGCAGCTTTGAATGCGTCCTGGTCATGTATTGATTTTATATTATTAAGAAGCGCAATCAAATCTTTTATACTTAACAGATTTGTACACAGTTTTCCTAAAATAAAAATAACAATCAAGTAAAAAAACAACAATAAAACAATATCATTCGTATGCATATTATATTGCAAAGACAAATAATAACTGTGATGTATATGAAATTTTGTTGAAGTATGATATTGATCTTCCAACAATTGTATTTAATACATTGATTTTTTTTATTTGAAGACATAAACAATTATTGATATAAAACATATTTACATTTCTGCAAACATCTGTAAATATGTGTATGTGTGTATGTTAGACTGAGAGATACATGTAGCAAACATGAATGCAAGTAGTTCACATTTCTTTAAACTAAAACTCGTTGAAAACAAACTGAGAAGGAAAATATTACAAAAAAGTGAAATATGATTATTCTTTATTAAAATTAACTGTGATATGTAAACGTCTTACGATAAACGCTTTAAGATGGAGCAGCCAAACAATTACTGCTGAGAAATGTGAACTTCACAATTAGAACATTTGTCATATACATGTATTCGAGTTAGAAGTTGTCTATCTGTTTCAATCTCTAGGAAAAGATAAAAGAGGGACGAAAGATATTAATGGAACAGTCAAACTCATAGATCGAAAATAAACTGACAACGCCATGGCCAAAAATAAAAAGACAAACAGACAAATAATAGTACAGATGACACAACATAGAAAACTAAAGACTAAGCAACACGAACCCCACCAAAAACTGGGGGTGATCTCAGGTGCTCCGGAAGGGTAAGCAGATCCTGCTCCACATGTGGCACCCGTCGTGTTGCTTATGTTATTACAAATCCGGTACGTAGTCTAATTCGGTAGGTCACATTCGTGAAAAGGGAAGGGTATTGAAGTTACGACATAAGGAACATATCCGTTATCATCTGTGAAACGGTTATTCCATAACGGTCAACCAACTCGTGATGGCGTCCGTAAAATTTACGACGGGATGACTTCAACTTCACCATTTGGAACTCTTGGTTTAATAGCTTCCTTGTGAGCAGCAATCCTCTATCAAAGAAATCATGATAGGAAATACAAGCCCGGGAATATCGTATCAATTGGGAGATATATACTCCGTATGCTGGCGCTGCTGGAATGTTGCTACATCGAAATGGAAAGTTCACAATTGGGAAGCTGAAATCATCTCTTTTGTCGTAAAGTTTTGTTTTCAACCGACCCTCATTGTCAATTTCTAGATGTAAGTCAAGATATGAGGCAGACTTAACTGTATCTGTAGTATCCTTTATCTCTAGTTCGATGGGATAGATTCGTTCAACATAGTCACCAAATTTTTTAAAGATAAAGATATGAAACAATTCTTCTAATTTTGGTAGTATCCTTAAACTCAAGTTCCCTTGGGTATATGAGATGCAAACAGGCCAAGATGACCTTATATGAATTTCGACATTTTTTCGGTCCATTTATGTCCTATAGTTCTTCATATGTTTTGGTCTTATACAACGTTACTAATGTAGGTAAGTTCAAAAAAGCACTTCCGTCGCACGAAATTAATCAGTGTTTTTTATTCACTCACTGAAATGTGGGTCATTGAGCGACATACCATCATCAATACACTTGAAAATGAGATTAAAGAGCTTTTTCAAATGCTATCAATTCAGCGTTTCGTCTCGAAACTTTTCTGAATATATAAATAGGGGGCTTACATCATCAATAAATTATCATTGTTTACTTAAGTATTATTACAAATAAAAGTCGGTGTGTTGAATAAGTGAATCAAGGAAAAAACGAACAACCCAAAATAAAGATAAATTAATAAAAGTGAAGTGATGTTTATTGGGAAGTGCAAAATTGGATAATTTAAAAATGAATAAACTAGACAGCAAGTTCAATACCCATCAAAGATACCAGACCTATAACTTAGTTCTACAGACGAACGTTACTTTGATTTGTTATACTATCAAAAACTTGTTCACATTTAAGTTTTATGTTGCTTATATAGAAATTTAATTAGGAGATATAGTAAATTAAACATAAACATATATATGAAAATGGAAAAAGCTATAATCTTAGGTCATATCTAGAAAACAAAAAATAGTATAATTCAAAAAGTTGCTGTCAGGTAACATATGATGTGATTTATTTGAGTCGAGTTATTACTACTATAAAAGCAACAGCCGATCCAGACAGAAACGCTGCAACTATCAACCATAAAGCTATATTGTTCTTCACCTTAGCTTTTTCATAATCTCCTCTTGCCCAGGATTTGAGTGCCTACAAATAATTGTTTCTTTAATTATTAAAGTAACTTTTATATTTATTATCACCTGACCTGTAACTTAAAACATACTCACGCCATCTCATTAAATGAAAAATTAATGTTTTCCCTTCTATTTTTTTTTAAAGTATATGTCTTTCCGTTTCATATTAGATGTTTCACACTAATAAATGTTCATTTTAGATAAATTTTATTGTGATAACTTTTATGACTGCACCAATGAACTTTGCAATTACCTGGAGCAATTAGTTCATGAAAACATCCAAAAGAAAAAAAAAACTATTTTCTATTTTTAATGTAAATGTGGGAATACTACTATAAATAATAATTAAACCAAAATATGAGTTCTGATTATCCAAAGTTATCTATGTTATTTTTATATTGTTTAAATACTTTTAAAACTATGGCATATTTTTAT